CCATCAAATCACATATGTCATAATGTATCTTCACTTACCCCCATCAAATCACATATGTCATCCTACCAAATCCTAACCTACCCCTTGTACTTTTGTCTCATCTCTTAAGTTTCCCTTGAATCAGATAAAATTATATTGACTGTAAGAAAGTACTTAGCTGACAGGAAATTCTAGTTTCTGACGGTTCCTTTTCTACTGCTTGTTTACAGTTCAATGTTAAATCCTCGACTACTTTGATATCACATTAAACTCTTACTCGCGTAATATTTTGAACTGTTTCAAGTCTTGAAATTAATTCTAGACTGAACAAATTCTAAATTTAACTTTTCTGCATTATATTCCGGGAATGACATTATTTTTGACGGTCAACTCCTGAGCTCACATTGTACCCTTCTACTATAGGTATTTGTCTTGTGACTTTAACCTCGCTGTCTGGCAATTAAGGATTTTCTCTTCTTTTAAAATGTCAGAGCGTTTTTTTCTTATACGCTACTAACATCATGTTATGCTTTGAGATTCTTGAAATTAAGATTCTCATGTTACATATGTACTGAAAATTCTTTTGCCTTAAAGTACGGCGAGAATTTATCGATCGAATTTACTTGATCGTAAAACATGAACTTAGCATGAAATCTGCTACAGAATTTAAGAATACAGATGTTAATTTCATAAATCTTTCAATCAGAAAATATAACATAGTATTTTCTAGAAAAATCCTTGACTTAAATACATATATTATATTATTTAAAATATGAGATTTTCTCAGTCGTTACAATCATTTGCTATTTCAGTCGACCATTTCTCATTTACTGCTATGTTTCTTAATCTCTGGCCTTCTGACTGTTTGTGCTTGCTGTTCTTTTAGCCGTCATCGCTCACCCTTTTGTTTCACCCTTCATCATTTACTGCTCTATTTTCTTATGCTTTTATTTTGGAGCCTTTGTGTTCTCCTGTGGTTGGTTGATATATAACAATTAGATTAGTATTTGGAGTGCTTCAAGTACTATCAATACTTCCTTTTTATTTTTTTGCAACCTCACTAATATTTGCTCTTTATTTGTTTTATTACTTTTATTAATTTATATTCTCACTCTTTATTTGTTTTATTACTTTTATTAATTTATATTCTCACTGTTTTATTATTACATAATAATATTGACCTATTAGTTGATAGTATTTTTATATTTACTTACAACTTATCTGTTTCGTGTTAATATACTTAGATGGATGTCCTTGCTTTATATCTTTTACAATTAATTTCTCTTTTTTGGTGTTTTTTTTTCTTTCCTTATTCATTTCTTTTTGGTTCTTTTTGTTTCCTTGATTCTTTTTCCGCTCCCTTTCTTATTTCCTCATGGCAATAATGATTATAAACAATTTTGACACTTTGAGTTTGATATAATTTCTCCAAAGATTGCTGTTAATGTAGTTCTTTCATTTTGCCCTCTTTTTGTCTACATTTTTTGATTCAAAATCTTTTCCCATGTCTTTTTCCTTAATTTTCAACATATTCTCATACTTTTGTTTTCTTTGGACAAGTAATCAATTTAAATGTCATTTAAGTTGATATACATATATCTATTAATTTCCTTTGTTCGTTATTCAATTTTACTTTTTTAAACATTTTTTTTTGCCTATAGCACTTTATTTTCATCAGTTCTATTTTTTACTTTTTTTCTGTTTGTTTTTTTTTTCTTTTTTGCCTTATTCACCTGATAGTTGTTGGACAAATCAATATCTTACTCGAATTACTTATTCTTTGTGTTACACACTTTATAATCTGTGTGATGCATTGAATATTTTATGAAATTTTGGTGCTTTCATGTAGTTGCCCACAGTAGATAGCCATAAAGTGTCTATAAATATATAAGTTTATTTATTCATTACATGTTGATGAAAAATTTAATACTTGAGCCATGATCATTATATAAAAATACTGTAATATTTGTGTTGTATGAATTTATTCTAATTCTTTTCTTTTTTCTTTTACTGTTTTTTTTTCTTAGTCTTTTCTTTTGTCCTTTTTACTCTCATTTCTTTCCTGTTTCTTTACTTTTTCACTCACTTATTTATATCTATTTTTTCAAATTATCCTCACTGTTTTATTATTATTTAATAACATTAATATATTACTTGATAATATTGACATATTTAATTAGAACTTATCTGTTTTACGTTAACATACTTAAATAAATGTCTTTGCTTTATATATTTTGCAATTAATTTCTATTTTTTATGTTTTTTTCCTCTCTCTATTCTTTTCTTTTTGGTTCTTTTTGTTCCTCTAATTCTTCTTTCCCTCTCTTTCTTATTTCTTCATGGCAATGATAATTATAAATAATTTTGATACATTGAGTTTGATATAATTTGTCCAAAAATTACCGTGAATGTAGTTCTTTTATTTTGCCCTCCTTTTGTTTATGTTTTTTGATTCAAAATCTTTTTGCCATGTCTTTTTTCCTTCTTTTTTACCTTATTCTTATACTTTTACTTTCTTTGGACCAGTAATCAATCCAAATGTTATTTAAGTTGATATATATATATATATATATTAATTTTGCTTTGTTTGTCATTAAATTATACCTTGTTTAACGTACTTTTCTTTGCGTATGATGCTTTACTTTCTTCCGTTCTATTTTTTTCTTTTTTTTGTTTGGTTTTTTTTCTCCTTATTCACCTGATACTTCTTGTACAAATCAATATCTTACTTGAATTACTTAGGGGGCGTTCGTTTCAGCGATTCTAAATTCAAGATTAGAGTTAAAAAAGTGAGTTTAATTAGAATTATATTTGAAATTTGAGTTGTGTGTTCACTTGGATAGTTTGTGAATGTTGAATTTGAGTTTTGTGTTCACTTTGACAAGAAAAAAACTCCAATTTTAGCACACGTACGTACTAAGAAAAAGAGCGTAAGTATCCCAAAATAATCACCGCTGTCTGCCACCCCCATCTCTATCTGAGAAACCAGCTTTCCCACATTTTTCGTCACTTTCCTGAGACAAATTCAACACCCCATAAGAAAAAAAAGGAACACCATGTTAGCAGCTAAAGCACCGGTAAAACCCTCTCCAATCCCTTCCTCTAAAACCCAAAAATCCCCCGAAAGCCACTCCATAATCCCTAATCTCGCTTTCTTTCTCCGTCGCGAAAATCCCCAACCTCTCCTCGCCGCCGCCACCAACTCGGTCCAAGAACAACAAAATGAGACCCCCGCCAACTCAGTCACGGCCATGCCGGGTCAGCTTCGAGTTGACATCCTCTCGGAGTCTCTGCGGTTCATCCAGAAGTTCCACGGCAAGACCATCGTGGTCAAATACGGCGGCGTAGCCATGAAATCGGCACAGTATAAGTGACTTGACCAAACAAAGGAGGGGCCTCTCGTGAGCCAAGCAGCAACCAGCACGAAGGAGGGATGACACTGTACGCGTAGGTGAAAAGCAGTATGCAGAAAATCTGCACTGTAGCAGACAGATTTGAGTTATTGAAATTCAAGGGGTAGCTGATGTTTCATAACTCCAATTCTATCTCGAGTATTGAATTTGAGTTTGGATTACCGAACGGTGGACTAGGCCCAAAACTCAATTTGAATTGGGCAAACTCCAGTTTAATCAACCAAACGAACGCACCCTTATTCTTTGTGTCACAGACTTTATAATCCGTGTAATGGATTGAATATGTTATGAAATTTTGGTGCTTTTATGTAGACCATATAAGTTTATTTGTTTATCACACGTTGATAAAAAATTCAATACCTGAGTCATGATCATTATATAAAAATATTGTAATATATATGTTGTATGAATTTATTCTGATTCTTTTCTTTTTCTTTTTCTTTTACTGCTTTTTTCCTTGGTCTTTTTTTTTGCCCTTTTTATTCTCCTTTCTTTCATGTTTCTTTGCTTTTCCACTCACTTACTTATTTATATCTTTTTTTTTTTTTTTTTTTTTTTTTTTTTTTTTTTTTTTTTTTTCAGGTTTTCTATTATCTATTGCTTTGCATTCCTATTGCTTTATCATTTTTTTGAGATTCGGCCTTGGTTGGCATGCCTCTCCTATTCGGGTTGTTACTTACATGACTGGGGTATTCCTAAAAGCTTCTATTCATACAAATTTAATAAATGTTGATGATGATAGATGGAGTAATTTTCTATAACATTATTAATGTGTGAGGTTTGTTCAGGAATATCTACATCCATATAAGCTTATCTTACATTATTGATACATATTAGTGATTAAAAAAGGAAATAATTGTTTTTTTTTTTGCTTTTAGTGAATATTTTCGTTCATAAATAGGCAATTATGGTATATGAAGTGTTTTCTCTATCATTTCCTAATTCATAAAAAAACATGTATATATATATATATATTAGCGATGATCATACTCAATTTTCACGTATTAAAGTTTGTTTGATAAAAAGTGATGTGGCTATGTCCAAAATAATTCACTAATTTTTATCAATTATATATAAAAAGATAATATCTATTACTTCAAAGATATATATATCCAATATTTTATTATCTCGGGGCTCTCCCAGAAGCAACAACAGCAGCTCCTAAAGCAATCCACCCACAAACACCAAATCCAAAAAAATCAAGCACAAGGTTAGATATACCTACTAACTTACATTATTTATAAACAAAAAACAACATTTATAATTTCAAATATATATTTTAACAAATTTTTCGTGTTTCACTTCTCAACAAAAGCAAACAGAACAACTTAGAAAACGTCCAAAAATCAAGTAATGTCACTACTCCTAAATTAAAATATTTTTAATTTCATCAAATTATTAATACTAATTTATTAAAAATTCACCTTTTGCAGTTAAAAATAAAAAAGTGCAAATACTTTAGCACAACAACTTGGAGCACAATGTAAATAAATCTATGTTACTATATTGTAGATATTTATTTATCTGCATGTACATATATAAACTACATTTACTTAAGAGCACAATGTAAACAAATGTATGCTACTATATTGTATATATTTATTTACACATATATATAAATTACTTTTCCTTTTATATAATATAAAAATATTACCCGCAGCAAAGCCCGGGTAACAAATTAGTATAAGCTAAATATGTTACACAAAGCACATAAAATGTCTCCTTTTCTCCCAGGAAAGGAGGAACAAAAAGTCGTTTTGATTATTCCTCGAGCAAAGATGCTTTGAATTTGTTAAACTCAAAAGCTTCAGAATTCAAGCTGTCATTGGAGACTAGAGAAGCTACATCAGTAAAATTACAGGGTAAATGTCATGACTCTTCTGATTGAGTATCCTCTTCTGTTAGAGGCTTCTGGGTTGTTGTTCTCTGTTCTAAATATTCCTCTTCAATAGTTTCTTTGAGAATGAATAATCTTTGTATAACTATTGGCTGAGTCATTTGCTTGGCCTCCCTAATGTCAGTCTCTTCCTGGTTGAGATGGTACGCGTCGAGCATGATCTTAATCCACTTGTGTAGCTCCTTAGGGGTCCTGCTCAGCCATATAAGACCGATTTCAATGCAAATGCTAATAATAATGCTATATTAGGCGCTAAATAATGTGAAAATGACGTGTTCGATTTTGATATGCTATTCTATTTTGTACTCCAATGCATAAGACTATTTCAAATGTTATATATACTTTGTCATAGTTATTAAGCTTTGGGACGTGTAACAGTTAACTTGTAATTAAAAAAGAAGTTGAAAATGACAATATTATAATGATCAAATGAAAAGTGAATACATTGATCAATAGCAATCAAATATCAAATTTTGGTATGTGCTATACTTGGTACCAAAGTGGCCTTCAAGTACAGCATATGTCAAATTTAGCACAAAAAAACTTTGACACTTAGAACTGCACCGGAGATGCTTTAAGATACTAAATTCAGAGCAAAAAATAATGTTATGTAGCTACCTTTGTGTAAGTAATGCAATAATAGACTGAAGGAGAGGTTTCTTACGTGTATACATCGTTGGGATCCTTGGCTTCACAGTCATTGCCTGGGGAGAAAGCCGTTGCCAATGCCGAGAATCGTTCTTCAGGATCTGTGATGTTCAGCAAATGTTTCAGAAGCTTTAATTCTTTTGGCGCAATGCTCCTGAGACTGCTCTTTGTGGCTTTATATAGGCGATACATTATGTCCTTGACCTGCACTTAGATGGGAAATCTTAAGGAAGAAAACAGGGAAAACAGGCGAATATTGCAATTGACAATAATGCAGCAGAGGCACTCCTATCCCGGAGTTAAAAACTATGGCTTTATTTAATTGAATTTGTTGCGCAAATAAATTACAGAGTAACTATTTGCGATAAAATAGTAAGAGGATGAATAATTATATATGGCATCTCAAGGAAGAAGGATTTTGTTACTTGATCACGCACTATTATATATCAACTAATCAATATTTCTAGTGAAAAAAATAAACAATCAATAATAAAATTTCATTCCTGGGATTTCACTCTCCAAATTGCTAGATTGTACAGCCTATGCATAATGGAAGTATACACATCCATGCAACTTATTTGGTTGATGTCATCACGAAACACACCTCAAATTTCAAACTACAGAAATAAAAAAATAACTGTGATATGCCAGTAAACACAAAAGCTACGAGTTTAGACTTGGCTTATGTATTGATGAGTTGCAAGGGAAAAGTGGTAAATGATTCAATTTTGAAAACGAAGGCTTTCCATATAAAGTTGCAAACCATACTTCATTCCTCATAGTTGGGGACTCCTTTGCCGATGCCCAAGCAGCGTTTATCAGCAAGATTAATGAGGAATCAAGTTCCTTTGCCTTGGCAAGGCTTCGAATCTTCTCACATGCCACATCCACTGATGGAGAGTTTAAGATGTCATCGAATTTGGCCTGAGCAGTATCCAATGTATCCACAATTTCCAATGTGTTATCATAAGCACTGACAGCAGATAAGCATCTAGCACCTAGCCGAGACATTGCTGCTCAAAAAATAAAATAAGCACGTAAAGAGACTGTGATGAACAAGCAACAAAAGCATACAAACCATCTCATACTTTGGCGCTATAAAAAGGAATCAACCCAAATTGCTTACACTCCTCATTATTATACAATGTGACATGTCATGCGTTTAGAATCACATCAATCAACTATAAATTTGAAAAAACAAATATCGACTTTTGAAACAATATTCAGTAATTACCATCATGATCCTCCAAACTGTCAAAAGTTTCCGACATTAAGGTGAGGTACCGAAAAAATTCCCCCGTGAAGTCTTTACGCCGCTTTGTAACGATTGTATTTATGTCAGTTGGGTTGTCTTGTATCTCCTTAAGAAGCTCACTGTTTCTTTCCATTTCTTCATCAATCTGCAATGCTCACTCTTGATAAAAAAACAACCGGAAAAAAAAAAAAAAAACCGGCTCTAAACTCAAAACAAGTATCTACATTCACAATTCTTAACCCTCTGTTAGTTGTCACTGAAAGAAAGTAGAATACACAAAATCCAAAGTTCTGATATCATAATCTTCCATTAATTAGAACCCGCAAAGCTAAAAACCTCCTCCAATTAACTATCAACTAAAAGATATAATGTCCAAAATGTATCCTTCATTTATTTCTCTTTACTTTGTCATTTCAGCAAACAGATGATATGCAAATATCGGAATCAAAAGAATATAAACACATTGCCCTTACCTTCATCACCTTTCTCCCGAGAGAAATCAATTTCTCTTTTATAACCGGATCACTCTCCATATCTGCCCTCCTTCTACAACGACTATAGAAGCTCTCCCTATATTTGTTCCACTCCTTTCTGAAGACCAAATACTTCCTCCATTCTTTTGACTTTGGCTTCTCATTCAAAAACACATCAATGATCTTATCACAGAATTGGGATATGCTATAACCCTCAGCAACTTCAACCTCCACTTCTTCCACAACTTGGGCAGTGGCAAAGTTACTTGCTTCAGTCCCTTAAAAAAAAAAAAAAAAAAACCTTTTTTCTTTAGATTTTCAGACCCACAAAATAATTCAAGATGGATATACCAAAGAATCAGAAAACACCCAAGAACCAAAAACTTATAAGAAATTAGAGCTGGTAAAAGATGGAAGTTATGACTCACTGGTTTTGAAGTTGAGGCCATTTGTATTCCCTTTCTGCTTGCGCTTTAGAGTGTCTGCGGAAGAAGAGGATATGGAGGGAATAACAAGAGATGTTGGAAAGAGGATTTCAGTGAAGGGAGAGAAGACTTTGTTGGTGAAAATGGAGGATTTGGATATGGGGTTGGAGAGACTCGGCCCCAGAAGACTTGTCATGACGTTTTTGAGAGTTCTTAAGAGCGTGTAACAGTTGAAGAGGATATTGTCAGTGTTATGAGTGATTACACAGAGTAGCTTAGGAATACCTATAATGGCAAATTCCAAGTTTCCAAACTCCCAAGATTGAAGATTGGATAAACTTGAAAAAAGCAGGGTCGTATTTACATTTGAGTAAATTGAATTGTTGCGTCAAATTTTTTATTTATTGCGTAATATACCTCGTGCTTTCAATTTTTGTAATTGCACCTAAACTTTCTAATATCAATAGCAATTGAAGTTTAATAATTAATAGATGTTATTAAATTAATAATTTCGGGTTTATAAGATTTATACGTGATTTAGTTTGAAAAATAAAGAGATTTACTTTTTATGTGTGAATCTTATATTTTAAATTATCAATTAGATAGCGCTTGTTTGTTATTAAACTTCAATTGTTTTTAATTTAAAAATTTAAGATGTAATTGATCAAAATTGAAAATTTGAGGTGTATTATGCAAAAAATAGAAAGTTTAAGGTGTAATCTACAATTTACTTTTTTTGTATTTGGAAAGAAAATGCTCACCGCTCGGTGCTAAGTAAGGTTGTTCATAAATCCGCAAAATCAGCAGGTCTAACCTATCCCAACCCAATTCAATCCGAAAAATGCAATTTCTAGTGTTTTTTTTTTTTTTTTTTTTGCAGTTCATTTAATATCTAGCACGAAATTTTAAGGTAGGGTGTGGGTTAGGCTTATAATGGCCCGCACATCCTAACTCAACCCGCGCTCTAACTTGTCTCCTCTAATATCTAACCCTAGGCAGACAACTCATTCTACTTTCTAGTTTCTTCATCTTTGAATTAAGCATCTATATTTGCTTTATGTTGAGACTAATTTATGAGTATAGACTAATTTATATTTGTTTTATGTTTGATGTTGGATGGACTATTTTACTTCACATTTGATGTTGGATTGAACTTTGAGTTTTCGATGATCTTTGAATGTTGAAACTAACCACCCAACCCACCCCGCACCACCCCAACCTAACCTAAACATCATTGGATTGTCAAATTTTTCTAACATCGTCGGGGCCAAATATGTGCAACCCGCACTTTTTAGGACGGAAGAAAAAAAAGCCCTATTCCGCACCAACTCAATCCATGAACAACCCTAATGCTAAGCACAACCGTTAATGAAAGGCCGGATTTTTTTGTTCTTTTTCTCACATCTTGTATTTTGAGATTATAAAAAAAAAGAGACCTAATATTTTGAATTGTGTCAATTTTATATCTTCAAATTTCAAATTAATGCTAAATCCATTTTCTTTAACGGTCAAAGGTTTATTTTGATTATTAAAAAAAACCTAAATGCCTTTAACATTACTTAACAAAACAAAATTTCTTAACTTCATAAATACTTTTGAGCTACAAATTTTGAAAAGTAAACAAAATTCATCAAGGCTTGCATCTATATTGGAAAAAAGGAAAAACAAAAAGGTGCTTTTAAGAAACAAAAATAAAAAAGGGGACAAATCTAGGGAAAAGAAAAGGTAAATTACACTCAAGCACTCTGAATTTATCATCATTTGTATGCATCCTAAGCTTTTAATTTTGATATTTAGAATTGTAATTTTACAATTCTTGACAATGTAGTGCAATCAATTAGAATCTGAAATGTCAAACTTTCAAAGGTTCAAGGTCCAGCTTGCGAACCAATAAAATATTTAGGGTGCATTTGTGTAAAAATTATTGTCTCTTAATTAATGTCCATTAACTATTGGATTACAATTGCAATAACATTATAAATATAGTTCAAAAAAGAAAAAAGAAAAAATAAACTCGTCCTCAAGTTTACATAGATAATGTTCATTGGGAGAAAAATACTCGAATAACTCACAAAATATCGAAAGCAGAGAAAATTTTCAAATTAGGCGGTGGCTCAACAACACAAGTTATCGATGATTTTCTTCATAATCTTAATGGGTCCAAGGTTTTTCTTCTTTAACTTGTTGCATGTGCCAGCTAGAAATCTTGATTTGCGGAGATGAACCGTTACCACATATGCTTATTTATTTATTGAAAGTATACATATGTTCATTTTTATTGAGTTTGTATCGGCGCCACTCTATTTATGCGAGAGTTGAGAGAATTTGAGTCGGGATATAAATCGTAGTGTGTGGCTCAACTTTATTTTATTGGTTAAGTTGTTTTAAGAGTTTATAAATGTATCTTTTTGTTTACGGTAGGGGTAGGGTGGAAGAAGTGGGGAAAAATAATACTTCTATTTGAGAAAAGGAGAAAAAATGAGAAAGAAAGATAGACAAAGTTGCGTTAAAAATATTTTTAGGCTAAAAAAAAAAAAAAATTGACAGAGTTCGTTAAGTGTGGGTATTTATTTATTTAAGGAATCTGTTTTTTCTTTCCTATGGATATAGACAATTTGACGAACCACTTTTTGTGTCTTTTGTCTGTTTGTATTGATTTGTATGTGGATCTCTTTTTCTGCTGAAATTGGGTAATAGGCCATAGGGGTGAGTTTACCCTAAAAACACCCAAATATATAGGCGAGCTAGAATTTGTTCAAAAATGCCAAAATAACCACAAAATGGTAATCATGTAGTCCAAGACGAATGAGAAGTACTTTTTACCTAAAATTGGTCAAATTTATGCATAATTACCAGCCTTAATGAAGAGTTTGAGACCTTTATAATGTGTGTGTGCATATATATATATATATATATATATATATGAATAATGAATTTCTGTGGTGGAAGATCTCATGTCATAATCACATTCCGAATTAAGAGATGTAAATAAAAATATCTGATAAATACATTATGGTTTAAAACTATAGGGTATAAAAATCTGTAGATTATTCTCCAAATATATATGTTTTCCCCTCGTATAATAAGTAATGTATTTGATTGACAGATCTTAAAGCTTCACCGAGAAGGACACCGTAACATTTCTCAGCAAAACGGCTTTCGAAAGAACATATTTTTGAATATCTTCAGCTAAAAATCAGAAGTAAAAGGAAAATGATTTAATATTTAACTAGTTTCCACGTTAAAACTGGCTCTCTAATTATTTTTTTTTTGTGAAAACTAACTCTCTATTTTAAGTCGTACGTCAAAATCAATTGAACCATTACCAGATAAATGCTAATCTTGTCCAGCTTTAAATTGACAAAAAATAATTAAAAAAAAAACCTCAACAATGTCGTTCCAATTCCAGCATGCAATATAATATTACACATTAAAACAACTCCTCGGAACACCTGTTCAATACCACAACTAAACAAACGGTAAGCTCCTTTATATATATATATATATATATATATATGAATTCCATTTTGTATTGATCACCAATATTCAAGCATATTTGGTACACATTAGCTAGCTTAATTTCTTTATAGTAAATACTCTAATGAATAATCTCATGAGTGATCATCTCCGAGAACTAGTGATCCAATTATATATATATATATATATATATATCGTGCAACAAAGATATATAAAGTACGCAAACAAATAAGCCAAAAATCCAGAGGGCACCAAAACTCCATCGCTAAAAACACAAAACACTAACGCCAAAACCACTCGATGAAGAAAACAAGAAAAGTCATCAACTTCTTTTCGATTAAAACGACCTAAAATCGGATTCTTCAATAGAGAAACTCTCTCAAACACTTTGGAACCACCTCCTCTATTAAAAAAAACAAAAAAAACAAAAAAAACCTCGCAAATCCAGCTATAATCAAACACTTTTTCCATAACATTGATATTTTCCTCTTTTTAATTCCCTCTTAAGTCCCATAAGCCAAACTTGAGAGGCCAAAATATAACAAAGTCTCTCTCAAAAAAAAAAAAAAAAAAAAATTGATTCTCTCTCATTATGGCTCCTATCAATAGTGATCATCGAAGAGACGTAGCGATCGACATAGTGAAGCCCGTGAATTTCACCGGCGGGCTCGATTTCAGTGCCTTGACGTACACGGTATCGAAGAAGAAAGAGGTGGAGGGGCAATGGTTGAGCCAAGAAGTGGACTTGTTGCACCGGATCTCCGGGTACGCGCCGAAGGGGTTCGTGACGGCGGTGATGGGCCCTAGCGGGGCAGGGAAGTCGACGTTTCTGGACGCGGTGGCGGGGAGAATCGCCAGTGGGAGTCTCATGGGAAGAGTGTCGTTGGATGGCATGGTGATGAACCCTAGCTTGATCAAAAGGACTTCTGCTTATGTAATGCAGGAAGATAGGCTGTTTCCCATGCTTACTGTTTATGAGACTTTGATGTTTGCCGCTGATTTTCGACTTGGATCGATTTCCACTGATGACAAGAAACAAAGGGTTGAAAAACTCATCGAACAACTTGGATTGTCCGTAAGTGATTTTGATCTCACTTCACATATGTGTATATATCAATACTCTCAACAGTTTTAAATTTACAATATATATTTACATGCTATATATGACTCCTTAAACTATCATGGTTATATATGATATCGACAGTAGCAGTGTGAGTCTTGTGTTCATGGCGGGATAAAAATTTCACTGCTAAGATATAGTTCAAAGAAAAAAAAAATCAGATGACCTCAAAATCGTCTCAAATTAAAAAAAAAATGACAATTTAATGAAATTTAATAAAGACCGACAATTAGAAAATTTGTCCTAATAAGTAAGGTTTTTTTTTTTTTATGGTACGATATAACTCTCCTAAAAGTTCATGTTTTGTCTTTCTTTTTAACTTGAGGTGAGGAATTTGAGCGTAAGACTTCAACCGTAAGATGAGATGAGTATAGATTTACAGCAAGGTCACACTATAATCAAAATAATATATTTGTAAATATGTGAACATTTAAAAAAATGAATAACATATAAATAGTTTTACATGAAACTCTTTTGAGCTAGTTTTGGTCATTTTCCATTTTTTTGCAAATTATATATCCCATATTTCATATTAGACTTTTTCCTTACCAACAATTAATAACTCATCCAATATGTTTTGATAACAATGTTACAATCTATCATGTAGTCGGCTAGAAACACCTACATAGGCGACGAGGGGACCCGGGGAGTCTCCGGCGGCGAGCGGCGGAGAGTCTCAATCGGCGTCGACATCATCCACGGGCCGTCCCTCCTCTTCCTCGACGAGCCAACATCCGGCCTGGACTCCACCAGCGCTTACAGCGTGATCGAGAAGGTCCACGACATCGCTCGCTCCGGGAGCACAGTGATCCTCACCATCCACCAACCCTCGTCCCGGATTCTCCTCCTCCTCGACCACCTCATCGTCCTCGCCCGCGGCCACCTCATGTACCAAGGATCCCCCAAGGACGTCACCGGATACCTCCGCAAGATCGGCCGAAAAGTCCCCGTCGGGGAGAATTCTATCGAATACCTCATCGACGTCATTCAGGAATACGATCAGTCCGAGATCGGGGTCGAGGCTCTCGCCGAGTTTGCGCGCACCGGCGTCAAACCACCTAAGTTGGTCGAAGGGGATGTCTCTTTTGTTTCAGCAGCGGTGGCGACGCCGACGCCAGCTCGGACGCAGCCTCGCGGAAACGGTGGTGTTGAAGATTTTGATCATAGTTTGAGGAGCCCTCACAATGCAGCGTCGAGATCGTGGAGTGCTAGTGGAGTGGTGCAGACGATGATGTTTACTCCACCTAGGCCAAGGAATGAATATCAATCAAAAGTGAACAACCCCATGAGGTAAAATTCAATTATAATATCATGAAAAACTCTACATGTCGGGGGGGAAAAAAAGATAATATTTAGCATGAATACGAAAAACTGCTGCTGTTTTAGTTTCGGTTTTCGCTTAATTGATGAATGAAAATCAATGCCCTTCTTCTTAACGTAATAGTGTTAATAGATATTTGAGTCCCCCTTCTAAAGGTGGAAATGTTCTTTCATGAATCACGTAACAGATGCTAATAATAATAAAAAAAAGAGGATATGTCATATTATAATTCAAATTATCAAAAAAGAAAAAATGCCATAGAAATTATCTAAAAAAAAACACTAAAACTAGAATAATGTCATGGAGACTCAACTGATTTTTGTACAATTAATTAGCGTTTTGGCTGCACTTTTGTCCTTTTTTTATATGGTGTGGGCCTTATGGCTCTCCTTTTTACTCAAGAAATAAAACTACCATGGTTTTCAAACCTTGATAGACACACGCACGTACTCACACACCTAATCATTTAAGCTAGATTATACTTTTATCCCATTAATTATTGCATTTTTATCCTTATAATTAAAGAAAGTTTTGTTGATCACTACTATTCTAGTGAAGTTTTGTTTGAACAAAACTTGTGTATAATCACATTGCTCATTATAATAATCCCTCCTCAGCTCATCTCCCTACGCCAACTCAAGTGAGATCCTCCCCAGCACACCAACCCCCCACAGCAGCGACTACACCGTGAACGAGAACGACTACTTGACGCCGGGCGTGCTCGACGCCTACTCCGTCGACCACGGCCCGAAATTCGCCAACTCCTTCCTCCCGGAGACGTGGACCCTCATCCGCCGTAACTTCAAGAACATCCGCCGTACCCCCGAGCTCTTCCTCTCCCGCCTCCTCGTCCTCACCTTCATGGGCTTCATGATGGCCACCATGTTCCCCAACCCTCCAAATAGCCTCCAAGGCATCACCAACCGCCTCAGCTTCTTCATCTTCACCGCCTGCGTCTTCTTCTTCTCCTCCAACGACGCCGTCCCCGCCTTCATCCAGGAACGCTTCATCTTCGTCCGCGAGACCTCCTTCAACGCCTACCGCGCCTCCTCTTACACAACCGCCGGCCTCATCACTTACCTCCCTTTTCTTGCTCTCCAAGCAATCGTCTACGCCCTCATCACCTGGTGGGCTCTAACTCTTCGAGGCTCCTTCCTGTACTTCTTCATCGTCCTCTACGTCTCCCTCCTCACCACCAACTCCTTCGTCGTGTTCGTCAGTTCCGTCGTGCCGAATTACATCCTCGGATACGCCGCCGTCATCGCCTTCACCGCCTTGTTCTTCTTGTTCTGCGGCTTCTTCCTGAACTCGGGTGAGATTCCTTCCTATTGGACGTGGATGAACAAGATCTCGACCATGACCTATCCCTACGAAGGGCTTTTGATGAATCAGTATCAAACAAATGATGTGTTTGGGAAAAACGTTGACGGCACGTTGGTGACCGGACAAGGGATACTGGCTAGTCTCAACATTAATAGCGATATTGGGTCGAATAAGAAGTGGGAAAATGTGGCGATAATGTTGGGTTGGGCAGTTTTCTACAGGGTCTTGTTTTACTTGGTTCTTCGTTTCGCGTCCAAGAACCAAAGGACATAAGAGAGAAAATATTATCAAAAGATGATGAAACGAAAAAAGAAAAGTAGGGGTTGCTCTAATTGTCATCTTGTTATATTTTCTTTGGAGAACATATTGTTTATCAAAATTGTGTGTACTGTTATGAGCTATAAATGCTTCTTTTTTCCAGTAAAAATCCAGTGCTCTATAGTTTGAACGTGTGTTTATTCATTGTGCGAACTTGACATTGAATTGATTATCTACTGCTAGTTAGAAATCAATGATGTCTAACATATATATACATTTGTTATTATTATTAAAAAAATTTGGAAAATAAAATAAGACCAACAATCAATTGAATTTAGCTTCTTTTTTTGTTTTTCTTTTTTCCTAATCATCCAGAATTATATATCAGATGTATTTCAAAAGCGCTTTTTAAAAAAAAAAAAAAAAAAATCTTTAAAGAGAAAATAATAACGCACAAAAATCATGACATATGCCAGGTTACGAAAGGCACAAAAACTAGCAAAACATATTATTGATTATAAAATTTTCCAGCGGTTATTAATCGTGATCTTTTTACTGCAATAGCTAAGTGCATGATATGGATTTGTGGTTACCAAATATCCAGATGTATTAAAATAACACAATCTGCGAGGACAATGGTTCTCGCAGAGGACAATGGTCCTCGCAGAAAGACCATGCGAGGACAATGTCCCTGCAGAAAGACCACAATCTGCGAGGACAATGTCCTTGCAAAAAACTTACCCGTCCCCATTTTTGTCACATCATCAGATTTCTAGCGTCAGGAAAGCATCAATCATTCCGCGAGGACTAGATTTTGTTCTCGCAAAAAGTCTTCTGTGAGGAGGATACGGCGAGGACTTGTGTCCTTGCAGATTGTCCTCGCATAAAGTCTTTTGCGAGGACGACGCTTCTTTCTACGAACGTCCTCTCAGAAAGCCTTTATTGTTGTAGTGTGTGTATTAAATTGCTTGAGAAAGACGGATTACATTGTAGCAAACTAATATGTACAAGAACAATTCTGTCATTAACACGAAAAAAGAAAAAGAAAAAGAAAAAGAAAAGCAGCTCCTAGTGCCCTTAATTATCAATCAAGAAAACTTATTATCATTCAGTTTCCTTTAGAGGCCTAACTTATCATATAATTTCTTTACTGCACCATGATATCATATATGCCACAAAATACAGTGCTTAAATATTATATCCATCAATCTTATCCGCCTTATTACCAGTATGTCTCCACTGATTAGTCCGACATAAATAGAAAAATATAAACCAAAAAGAAAAGCTAAAACAGAGGTTAATTAGTTGTCAAACAAAATCTTGTGAACCTTTGAAATATCGAAGATTTCTTAAAGTTTATATAGTTTCATTTTTGGGGTACCAAAACAAAGGACGTTTGGGATATATATGAAATTTTATACCCTACGTCATCTTGAGGTTATTAAAAAATCATATCTTATAGTTTAGAGTGTATCACATTAATACCTTTAAGATATCAAATTTATGCTCAATTCTTATCTTCTTTGGTCAACGGTCAATTTTGATTAAAAAAAAATCTAAATGCCATTAAAGAAAACAAAAAGAATAAGAATAAGAAATAGGAAAAAAAGTAAAAATTTCAAATTGTGAAGAACATATGCGCGTTTGGAACTCGTTCTAAGATGATTTTATTTTTTGTATGAAAATGAAAATGAAAACGTTTTCAATCTCAGACATAAATTATTTTTAAAAATGCATTTGATAGTTTTATCAAGCGATTGTTTTCAGTATAAAAAAAACTCATTAATGTCTCTCTCTCTGCTCGAGAGAGGAGAAAACGAAAACAAAAAATAAAAAAGACTAAAAGTCATTTTTCATTTCTCTTTTATTTTACACTAAATCAAAAAATCGTTTTCATTTTCGCCTTTTGTCTTTATTGCGCCAAACACCATTTTAGAAACGTTTTCATTTTTCTTTCTCGAAAAACATGAAAAATAAAAATGGGATCAATTCCAAACATAGCCATAGGTTTTTCTCATAATCAAACTTTTGACCCAAAAAGCAAGGTTTGAACATGAATCAGAATGTGAGATGATATAAATGTGTACAATGGTAATAATAGGTACTATTCTCAATAACCTCAAAATACAGAGCATAAAAATGAAAATAAATCCCCATACACATATGTATATATCAATGTTAGCTACTGAATTTTATTATAGGCCATTATATTCTTTAATTAGTTTTTTGAATAACACATTATATTCTTTAATTAGTTCTGTCATCATAATGACTTTCTATTGTTTTGTCAATAAAAAATGTAAAGAAAAAAAAAAGAAAACTCAACATTAGTTGAAAAATTATATTGTTTTACGGAAAAAAAAAAGAAAACAAGAAAACAAACACATTGGCCTTTGTGTATGTGAGAAAATGACAAGTCTAACGCTTTGGAAGATGCCAAAGGATCTGTTGGAAGCATCGACTCACACTTCGCAAGGTACAGCCTCATCAAACTTTAATATTATTAATATTGTATTAGTATATCCTTCAAAAAAATATTGTGTTAGTATAATTCTGACCTACGCATATATATATATATGTATATATATATGTATAATATCTTAATTAATTAAGACAATGTAATCACGCCTGTAAGTTTGAGCTCTTTTCTGTATTATATGTAATTTATAATTATAGGTGATGGGGCGGCTTTGATGAAGGGTACCCTAGTTGGGAGCTCTTTTGCTATTATATTATTCGGAACTTTATTTCCGAGTTTTTTTATTTGGATTTTTTCATCATCAATTTAGTAAGTTAAAAACTAACAAAAATCAGTAAGAACAAGTGTCATTGTAATTAAATTTAATTAGCGGACAGATTAACAAGTTTAAGGGTATTCATGTAACTTTCTAAGTTAATTAATATATTAGTTTAATATAGGGTCTACAATTAAACACACACACACACACATATATGCATTTATATATATTATAAGGTTATCAATTATAAAAAATAAGCTTAGTAGCAGAACTTTTTAATCATTTTATCTAAGCAAAGTAAATGGAAAAGAAAAATGTAGGGAAAAAAAAAGAACCATCACTTATTACTCCTTTTATCTTCTTTATATTCGGTGCATTTTAAGAAGAATATACATAAATGGTTAATAATCGTAATAGAATAAACCGAAACCAACCAGATGGAAAACAGTACTTAATTCTTTTTTTTTAAAGTGCTTAATACGGTAGCTAGGTATTTAATGAATTAAGTATACCTGCTTTTCCTAATTCCTATTGGGGGTTTGACATCATTTATTTGATTTAGTTTTTGTTCATTGAATTTATTTTGCTCGGTGGATGTTGATATCATATTATTCCAGCCCGCGAAATTAAATTCACTTAAAACTAATTTATAGAATCAAACTGATGTATAATTAAAAAAAAAAAAAAAAAACAAAGAAAACACAAATCGATCACATGGACACGAGCTAAAATAAAAAAATATTGTTCCAATCTTATTACTTCATTGCAAAATTTCTTCACCTGAAGCATTATGATGAGCACACATTACGTTTAATTAATAGCACATACCATAGTAGTAGCATAATTATGGCATTGTAGGCTTATTTTCGAAAGTTTGCTAAATAAAATGTCTCCAGTTTGAGTATAATATTGAGAAGTATTTGAGCTAGTAAAAAAAAGTGTTTAAGAGTATTTACAGGTTAGCTAGTTATGGCTCGATACAATCATATATGCTTCTTCATTAAAAAAAAAAAAAAAAACAAATTAAGTTCTGAGTATACTGAAATTATGTCTCTTTTTTTATTAACAATAAAACATAATTAAAAATAAAAGTTCTTCGTTATATTAATGTCTATATTGATGCAAGAGTATACTTGAACTTGAAAATAATCTACGTGGTTTGGGTTTCAAAAAAGTGTTGCGTCTATAGATTCGTAACGAGACTTCTTGAATTAAAGGCTCAAACGAGTGATATTTGTAGTGGATTCTCGAATCTAGTCTTGAGTAATGTCTAAAAGAATTAATTGCGCTTCTCCAATCAGTTACAATTTTTAAGAGAAATGAATGCGTCACTCCAACATCATATACTAGCTTACAAAATGGAACTAATTTTTTTTTTTTCTTTAATATCACATCAACGCAAGCTAGAATGATATTTTATGTATGCTTGATCCACTTTCTTCTAGATATTTTTGATAAAATTGTATTTAAGTATAAGTCATAGCACATAATATTGTTTCCATACAGCTAAACAGGCATGCTGGTTGTCATATGGTAAGTGACAGAAATTACATCTGGAAATAATAATGATTTTTTAATAATAAACTTATATAGTAATTTAATGTTTAATCAATGGGTTAGGCATTCTGAATCTGATATTCAGTCAAAAGGAAGAAAAAATGACTCGATCAAAATTACTGGATAAATAGGGCATATTCTGTGTTCTATCTATTAACAAAATGTTATTTTTTGTCAACATCACGCGTATATTCCGTCATTTTTTTATTTACACTTAAATAATTGATGAAAAAATTAAAACTGAAACAAATTGATAGATCCAACTTAAATTTGAGATGTGTTAAAATTTAAAAATAAAAATGAGATTGAGAATAAATTTAAGGTACTTTTTGTTAGATTAACCCGCTTAGTTAATAAATCTTGTTGAGAATGGATTATCACAAAAGAAACCTGATGGACATTTTAGGGTATGTATATTGACCAAGTAATTAAGCTACTACATGTCAGGAATATCTCCATTTTCCAGTCTGTTGTCTTTAAGCTTTTTCTAATTAATTATGGCCAGTTTCCAAGTTTTATTTGTAATTACAACTCACTCAATAATTTTCTTTATTCGTTTTAGCAATCGAAAACTTGAAAGGTTTCAGATATAAGTTTGTAAATGGAATGTTTGTTGGTTCGAATAACTCTAGTCAACCGTATAACGGCCCTTTTGAAAAATACTATATTAATTTCAACATGATGTTTATATGTTTCATATTCTAATTATCTCTCTCGAATAATTTTTAACCAATCATATTTTATCATTTTATTTGATAGCTCTAAACACTAAAGTACAAAAAAAATCAGTTAAAAAATATTAACCCACTTGATGTTCTTTTTTTGAAATTATTATTAACCCACTTTAGATTTCACGGAAAAAAAAAAAAACCTCATTTTAGATTTCAATAGGATCCAATAGCTTGTTGCAAAATGCATAATATATATCTGACCAAAAAATGCATAATATATATATATATATATATATATTGGTATCGATGACTCCTGTAAATGCATAAAATTATAGTCTAGCCTTGTACTAAAATTTGGAGAATGCGAGAATATGGGTGGACACAACCCTTTTTATTACTCTCCACACCCCATTTCTAAACACATATCCCACATAATTTTAAATTGATTGAATTTACTTTCTACACACCCCTATTATTCCAAAATTACCCCAAACTATTTTCATAGGATTATTAATTCTTGATCATTTTTCTTTTCACACCTATTATTTTATTTTAATTTTTTATTTTAATATTATCATTTCTATATTTCTCTATTTTTTAAGTTGAAGCTTTAGGCATGCCACTTTTTTTTATTAAAATATTTAAAAAAAACATAAAGGACACTCAAAAATATAAAATAGAAAGAAATATAATTCACGAAATAAAAAGTAAATAAAAAAGCAACAAAGTTATTATATTATTGAGGTATAATTAAAAATATAAAATAAAAAAAGATTGAAGAACAAATAAACGAGCAAAATAAGCATAAAAAATAATAAAATGAAAAAAAAAAAAAAACAATTCGACTTTATAAGAAACGAAAGGAAAATGAGACAAAATGATTTTTCCTTTCAAAAATGAAATAATTAGAAAATAAAAACATTAACACAAAACAAAAGAAAGAAATAAAATATCATCATTTTTATAATAAAATTAATTATGTAATTAAGTCTATTATAATTGTCATTTTACAAGAGAGTATTTTCTAATAAAAAAATTATAATTAAATGGGAAGTATAAAGAGTAAAGAGTGGTGTGTGAATAGAACCACACTTGTACTATAACTGAAGAATTTAGAACTTAATGCATTGAAAACGATTTTAAAAAAGGTGAAAGAATCCAAATGGAATAATATATAAAACTGGCAACCAGCAAAATTAATCTAAAAATTTGTAGATTTTAACGGGAGTACGTACATACAGTAATTGAGCATATAGATATTAATATTTAATATGTTAATATTTATATATACATTATAGGGAGATCAATATAATCGAATCAAGTACTCTTTTGCGTCCTTATCTGGTAAATTAGTTGGCACTAGCTTTATGATCATGGGTCGTTGGCAATCAAAATGCATTGAGCTACATATGTACGTTCTATTTATCATTTATTTATTTATTTTAATTATAAAAATAATAACAATAATAATAGTAATAATAATAATAACAAGTACAATACTAATAATAATAATAATAATAATAATAGTAATTTGTTGTTGGGTTAGGGGTTAGTTAGTAGGCTGTTGCACATTATTATATGTAGTTAGGCTTACCCCCATCCTATCCTCTCCTACACACACGTATTCAAATTATTCAAATCTAATTGGCTAAGAAGTAAGAACATATTAGCCGTGTTTGGAATTGATCCCGTTTTTATTTTTCACTTTTTTTAAGAAATAAAAATGAAAATATTTTCAAAACGGCATTTGACACAATAAAAATAAAAAACAAAAATAAAAACGATTTTTTAGTTTAGTGTAAAATGAGAGAGAAATGAAAAATGACTTTTAATCGTCTTTCATTTTTTGTTTTCATTTTCTCCTCTCTCGAGCAGAGAGAGAAAGAGAGACATTAATGAGTTTTTTTTTACATTGGAAATAATCTCTTAATAAAATTACTAAACGCATTTTTAAAAATGATTTATGTCCGAGATTGAAAACGTTTTCAGTTTCATTTTCATACAAAAAATAAAATCATTTTAAAACGAGTTCCAAACGCGCCCATTATCTTTCTAGTAATAAGAATCTCTCTCTTTCAAGGAATATAATTTAATTTTCTTGTTTTTTCTATCCCCATATTTCAATTAATTATAAACAAAATACTAATTATATAAGTATTGCAGATGGTAAAATCTACAATCAATTTATACTGGTGGTAGTTTATGACTAATCCGATGTTGTTTGAGTAGAACTAGCATATGAATAGAGAAGCGGAACGTAAAAAATAAATAAGAATACAAGAATTTAAAGTCGTTTACTTTTAATGTAAAGACTATGTCCAATTTGAATGTTCTCTGAAAAGGGCAAAAAAAAAAAGAAAAAATTCAACTTCTTCCGCCAATCCACAGACCAAGCTAGACCCCAACCAATTCAAACCTTTCAAGAAATTGTCCTCAGGAGATGGTCTATTTTTCTTTATTTTCTTTCAACGAAATTACATTTATGTCATATATTTAATAGATTTTCCGCGGTATTAGTCAAACTCATTTTTGTAAACATATTGTTGATAATTTAAGAATATTATTAGATTGAGGCTTCTTTTCAGTCAAATGGATCTCAATGTTAAAGATCCTCTCCCTTGAAATTCTTACAGCAACTTTAATTTTTCTTATTCTTTTTTTTTTTCTTGAACTTCAAAGGTTGGAAAACTCAAACTTTACGTTTCAAGATGGAGTCAAGTGTGAAATTATCATTAAATTATACTAGCAATCACAATAACTTGCCTATTAAGTAAAATATTCATTTGGGTTATATTGGAATTACGCGCGCGCATATATATATATATACACACACATATACTAGTGTGTGTGTATTTTATTCAATATATAGTACAATTAACTACTCTTGGAAATTAAATATTATTGATGCTACTAAACCGTCTTAGTTGGTTAAGAAAAAAGAAACCAGACCCAATTACCTTATATTATGTTTGAATTAATACGGGTAAGAGACAAGGAGAGAGACGAAGGCACACCAATATGGAGGGTTACTCCGCCCAATTATTTAAAATCAAATGTAAATTAAATATAGCTAATCAAAGACCCACCACCATAATCATAAACAGTATACACTACCTAAAATATTCTTAACTATTCAATTAATTAATTTTTGTGTCAATATTCTAATTAGTGTAGCCTCTTATATATCTTCCTTCATATACTTCATGTAATATAGTACTCTATGATAGAAGTCAAACCCCATTTTATCAAACCTCTTCCTTCTTCTAAATTTCTAATCTTTGTTTGATACTCTTTTGTCCCTGCAGCCTCCAAGATCACGATTCATCTGTGAAGAACCTTGGATTTTTGTTTTATGTTTTATCATCTTTTTGTACAAAAAAAAAAAGGTTTTTTTTTTTTTTTTTTTTTTTTTTTTTTTCCCCTTCTTCCCATGTGACATTCTAGGGAAAAATTGAGAATCTCTAGGGGTTATGTGGAATGAAAGTCAGGAACCAACAAGCAAATACAGAGGAAAATGATTTGAATTCCATGGAATTCAGAAGTGGTTTGTTTTGGTAGTACTTGGTGGAAGCTAAAACTAGTTATATATATATATATATATATGTTGGAAAAGTGGCTATGAGTTTGATAATCCAATGGGGCGACCTCCAATGTTAAGAAGATGATGGAGGGATTATTGGTCAACAATTGGGTTTCAAGAACATGTAGATGTTTGATCTTGTGCCTCTTCATTCTTGCTCAATCAACTTGTGCACAAAAAGGTAAGTATTGAATGAATTTTACTAGATCAGGGCAATAATATTGTTTTATATTGGGGTAACCCAATTTCAAGAAATATTACAACATCAAAATGTTTGATTCTTGATGAATAGGTTTTTTTCTTTCAATTTGGCCTTAGGATTTTATAACGTTTAGATTGTTTTAGTATTAAATAATTGATCATTGATTATTATTTCAGTGGGGATTTCAAATTTTAAGACATATTATTAGGTTCATGTCTTCAAATTTAGCGGTGGAGAAAAAAATATCACGTGATGTTGCAATTGCGCTTATTAACCCATAATTGATCTGGTTATTAATTAATAAAAGCATTGAAAATGGTTGACGTATCTATATCTAACCTAGGTTTGTTTGTTTAATTTCCTTTCATTTAATTTCTTGTAGATCAAAACTATAGAACAATTTTTCTTCTTAAAGAAAATTAAAAAAAAAAAAAAAAAACTTACGGCTCTACAAAACCACAAATTCAAATTAATCAAGATCCACCTTAGAACTCCCTATATATATATATATATTGCTTCAACAAGGAATTTTTAGTTTTTAGTTACATAACCAGTTACTTTTAATGCAGATTTTGTTAGCATAGCATGTTGCCGGGAGTCTAATTATACAGATCCTAATACTACCATAAGCTGGGATACAGATTACCGCTGGTTTCCTGATAGGAAAAATTGCCGGAAGATAAGCAAGGCGTCGACAAACCACACCGGCGACGATGAAGCTCGAATATTCGACATAGATTATTCATGGAAAAGATGTTACAGCCTAGACACAACAAGGGGTGAAGAGTACTTGATAAGGGGTACATTTTTATACTATGAAAACATATTGCTATATGAGACATCATTTTCAGTTTCGGTCGGTGTCACAAACATTAGCCAAGTGAATTCTGCCGAGGACTTTGAGGTTGAGGGGATTTTTAGAGCCACTAAGGAGAGCATAGACTTCTGCTTGGTCAAGACTGAAGGAGATCCTTATATCTCACGCCTTGTGTTGAGGCCTTTAAAAGGTTTAGAGTATTTACAAGACTTCTCTTCTTCTAGTGTTCTGAAAGTGGTCAGAAGAATTAATTTGGGAGCCAAGGATGGGGACATCATTAAGTAAGTTTTCTATTTTCTTTTTTCTTGAACAAAGATGTTTGAAATTTAAGATTACACTTACTATTACAAAATGGATACGAAAAAGTACCTACTTACAAGACAAATTATCTTTTTCAATTTGATATAATTTTGTTAATAGTTTTTTATGAAAATTGAATTTTTGAAAGGCCTGAGTTTCCATCTTAAAAAATAAGTAATCCAACGTCTTTATAAATTGATTTAAACAATGCGAGACTTGGATTCATTTTATCATTTACAGCAGTTTAATGTTCAAAACTTTATCCTTACATTCATACCCTAGTACCTTTTACACAAAATCACACGGTTACTATGGTTTTGTTTTTTTTTTTTGTGTGGTAATTTCAGGTACCCAACTGATCCAAGTGACAGAATTTGGAAACCATTAACAAGTTCTGGCACAGCAAATACTACTATACAAGGCTCTAATGTCAAAATCTCCAACTACACTGGCAAAGTGAGAGCACCATTACAAGTTCTACAAACAGCCTTATCTGATCAAAACCGCTTGGAGATTCTCCACAATGATCTGGACAAAGGAAATCACCAGTACCGTCTGACCCTCTACTTTCTTGAACTGAATACGACAGTTTATTCTGGCCAAAGGGTGTTTGATATATACGTGAACAATCAGAGAATGAAGTCGTCGTTTGATATAAAGGGTGGTGGGTCCAACTATAAGGAGGTTCGTCACGATGTAAGAGCAAATGGGTTTCTTAATTTAACACTGGTGAAGGCCTCTGGGTCTTCTTTGGGGCCCATTTGCAATGCTTATGAGATCTTACAGGTGTTCCCATGGGCCCAAGAGACTAGCCCAAGTGATGGTAAGTTCCATTTTCCCCCTTCAAAAAAAAAAAAAAAAAAAAAATCCACAACGTTATGTGAATATTTCAAGTGCAAGTTAAGGAGGACATATATATTGGAAGTGTGCTTAAAAAAAATATATATATAAATCAAAATATTGCTTAGAAACACGACTTGGAGGTAGCAATATAATTTGGAGAATTCAGTAATAGACATGAAAAAAATATCTTATTGTTAGATCATAATTAAGAACCGTCACATTTTATTTTTTAATTGATATGATTTTAATGTGATATAACTATGTATTATTATTAGGATTTTTTTTTTTTCAATACTCTACCCGGGAATTCTCTGTATAATTTTCGTTTTATCCCAATGTAGAATTCATGAAGTTAGAAAGTATGTGTATCATTTTGAAACCTTTGTATGACAAACTCTCATCAACTTTAATTCTTTAGTGAACGGTATTTTGGAGGTCAAGCGTGAGCTGTTGGCTTGTAATGAGGAGAATAAGGTTTTGGAGAGTTGGACTGGAGATCCATGTTTTCCATTTTCCTGGGAAGGCCTGTCTTGTGAGTCCATTAATGGTTCAACTGTCATAGCCAAACTGTAAGTCTCTGAGAATCATTACTTAAAAGTGGTTGAGTTTATTAAGATCTTTATGTTTGTTTAGCAATGATTCATATATATATATATATATATATATAATGTTGTACTTTTCAGGAGCCTTCCTTCAATGAATCTTAAAGGGCCAATTCCTCCAAGTATTACCAAGTTGACCAACTTAATTACCCTGTATGTTGACAGACGATTGTTTTTTCTATTTGGGCTCTCAATGTTGTCGCTTTTGTCCTAAATTGTCGTCTCTTACTCAATTCTGATTATTTTGTGATGTATAGGAATCTGAGCTCCAATGGCTTCACTGGCGAAATTCCAGCCTTCCCTTCTTCCTCCATGTTGAGATCAGTGTAATTTCTCTCTCTTTTTTTTTAAAAATTTATTTTCTTCTCTCTCAATGTTCCAATTGAATTTGTTTCATTCAACTTTGCAAATCTTTTTGTGGATGTTATTTATCATCTCTTGTTTGATAAAAAATTTTACTTACCAGGGATCTAAGGAACAATGATCTTAGGGGGCCACTTCCAGGATCTCTTGCAATGATGCAACATTTGGAAATATTGTAAGTTTCTGATTTTCAACTTATGTGCTCTTCTGTAATACAAAAACAAGTAAATTTCATAACACGGGCCAATTTGGTATTGCTTTTGGGAGGCCTCAAAAGCCATTTGTGCATAATACGATGCAAGTAGTATGTTTGACAAGTTTTTTTAAGTACTTTTCATATATATAGTTGCACGTTTAACTCTTGAGCAGTCTTATCTAACCTCTTGAGTTATGGCCCCATCACTTATAGGTGGGACCACCATTTCGTGAGTAGCTAGAGGTCGTGTGGGGTTAAAATATATTATAAATAAAAGTAGAACTTCTAGTTTCGTCGATAGTTCATAAATTTAGAATTATAATTTAAAATTATTCTCATTTTATATGTATTTTTTGTGAGAAAAAATATTGTAATGAGTCACGAATCATTATAAGAGAGAGTAATATTTATCCCATTCATTACCTGTTTACTTCCAGATATGTTGGCTGCAACCCTGTTGCCAAAGAGGATCCATCTAGCTTCAATAGCTCAAAACTTGACACAAGGTAATTGCAACATTTGTCTTGTTTAATAACGACAAAATCTGAAACTTGAACATCCATTTTGCAGCTCTGGAACATGCAACCCAGGACCAGCTTCTTCGAAACGAAGAATCATCATAGGCTCTGTGGCATGTGGATCTTTACTATTGACTCTGGCGGCTGGAGCTTTCGTCCTTTGCTTTTACAGACAAAAATTGATGCCTCAAGGAATATTCAATGGCAAAGGATTTAAAGGACCTCCGATGTCAAAGAGTGAGTACTCTAATCCGTATAATTCCATATCCACTATATTCTCTTTGCGCATATGCATAAAAGCCAGTTAATGCTGCTAAATCAGTACTGTGTGTGTATTTTGGACAAAAGTTTCCAAAGTATGATTTTATTTTTCATATCAAACTGCAGAAAATGGAGGTTTAATATTCTCAATACCAATAGTAGAAGAATTTGTTGTGAAGTCAATAACCATACAGACATTTACCCTGGCCAACATAGAAGCTGCCACCCAAAATTACAATACTTTGATAGGCGAAGGTGGCTTTGGTTCCGTTTATCGTGGCACTCTGCCAGACGGTCAAGAAGTTGCGGTGAAGGCCCGATCGGCAACGTCAACTCAGGGGACTCGAGAATTCGAAAACGAGGTACCACTTTACTAGACGGTCTTACATTTTGTTGTCATTTAATTTTCTTTAAAACTATGCTAACAGAAACCTTTTGATTTACTTTGCAGTTAAATCTTCTTTCCACTATACGCCATGAGAATTTGGTGCCTCTACTTGGTTATTGTAGTGAAAATGAGCAACAAATTCTTGTTTATCCATTCATGTCCAATGGCTCGCTACAAGATCGCCTCTATGGTACTTCCCGCGTCGATTCTTCTTCCTTCTTCTAACGTATTGACCTTGAATTTTTGATGAAAAAGACTGATTTCTTATAACAGGAGAAGCAGCAAAAAGAAAAAGGCTGGACTGGCCAACCAGACTGTCCATTGCTCTTGGTGCTGCTCGAGGCAAGTGGAATAGGAATATCATATATACATATTGTCTTATATCCCGACAAGACTGAGTCACCTGGTGAAATCCACTGTGTTTAACCATGGCAACCTAAATCCTAAATTAGGCCTTTGATATAGTCATATTTAAATGCATATTCTCTTTGGAATAGATTGTTCTGGTTAACATAGAGGATCAATGAAATTCTGAAGAATGCTTTCATTCAACAGGATTGACTCATCTTCACACATATGCCGGGCGTTGTGTTATACATAGGGATGTGAAATCGAGCAACATACTTCTAGATCAAAGCATGACAGCCAAGGTTGCCGATTTCGGCTTCTCAAAATATGCTCCTCAAGAAGGTGACAGTGGCGCTTCTTTGGAAGTAAGGGGAACTGCGGGATATTTGGACCCAGAGTAAGTTTTTTCCTTGAGCAAAACTTTCAACCCCTGCCTGTTAATGTAACCAAGTAAAACAATCTAACTAAATCAAAATTTATACTCTGCAGATACTACACAACCCACCACTTATCTGACAAAAGCGACGTCTTTAGCTTCGGCGTGGTGCTACTTGAAATTATAAGCGGCAGGGAGCCTCTCAATATTCGCAGGCCACGGAACGAGTGGAGCTTAGTTGAATGGGTATGCAACTTGTCCTCATGTTCTCCGAACTCATATTTTTTAGGCACATTTAGTGTCTTTGTGCTGAACAAAATTAGCGTCCGTCTGCAAATAAACATTTCCACTGCCTGTGGTGCTCATAAACTATGCATGTCATTCACAGGAAGAGTCACTAGAATTGATTTGTGATGTATTTTATTAAACATCTTCTTGATAAGCTATTGACTTCGAAGTCTTATGTGACTAAATATAAGTGTAATTTACTTTATAAGGGAATCACTATAATTAGTTCCATATTTGGTTAATGGGTTCGAATCAAATGATTTGAACCAAAATTCAAATTTTTATGAGAAAAAAGACTTAAACAGAACCATTAGAACCAGGGTCTGAATCCCGTTATCAAACAAGCACTTAATATATTTTTTTAACATGCTTGGAGAACCAAACAAGATCTTCATCTGACCAAGATACACATTTCTCTGCAGGCTAAACAACACGCAAGGGAGACAAACATAGATGAAATTGTGGATCCAAGCATAAAGGGAGGTTACCATGCGGAGGCAATGTGGAGAGTGGTGGAGATGGCATTGCTATGCATTGAGCCCTTCTCTGTTTATAGACCATCCATGGCCGACATTGTACGCGAATTAGAGGATTCTCTAATCATAGAGAACAATGCATCAGAATACATGAGGTCAATAGAGAGCTCAGGATCCATAGTATTGGACAGGAAAATTGTTATACCATCCTCCACTCCCACAGAGGCTTCACCTGTTTTGACTCAACCCTTGCCTCCTCCAGAGCCAAGATAATATAATTATAACCAATGAGTTTTGTCAATGATAAGATTTTTGTCCCATCATTACACTTTGAATGCAACAAGAAAATGGTTAATCTTTTTTCTGAGACTTACCTTATTGATTCTGATCCGGTTGTTCTTTCACGTTATTCGCTTAAGCAATTTGCTTTTCACAAGAATATAGAATGAGCTCTATTTTGACACTATTTGCCTAGGAGCTGATGAACAATATGTAAATGCTCACAACTGGGTAACAAAAAACGAATTTGGTCAGCCATTGGTCTTAATCAGTCTTGACTGTTGCGAAACATGATCGAAATGCAAAACCCGCAATGAAGCTAATAACAAATAAGCATTGAAGGGTGGGTCATTGGTATCAATTAATGCTCCGTTTGTTTCGGAGGTTCTAGCCTGATTTAGGACTATAGTTCTTAGTTCGCTACAGTGTTTTTCTCTCATAAAAAATTTAAATTTCAAAAATCAGAGTCATAAATCATGATTCTGAACTCATGAACCAAACGTCACCTAAGTTAAAAATCAACTTTCCTTGATCATAAGCTAGAGTCATGTAACTATTGTTATTGGGGTAGTTTCCCATTAACAACTTTCCTTATTTTATTTTTGTTTGGTCTCCTATTTTATTTTTTGTTTTATATATTAAAAAATATTACAGTTATATATATATATATATTGTCATAATTTGATTCTTATCACGCCAGGTTATCAAATTTTCATATTTGATAATAATCACTGATAGAAATATAATTATTAAAAATTCGTCTACACATATATGTGTGTGTGCGCGCGCGCGTTTTTCTTTTCTAATATCCAGAAATTCTTCAAACCCACTTTGCGAGAGAACCAAACCCTGCAATCTTTAGGAGACGGAAACCATGAGTGAATGGATCTTTAGATTATTGGTCCTCATCATGAGTTCTAATTATCACTCCAGAAACCTCTTCTCTAATTTGACTATTTCTCTTCTATCCATATACTCTCGTCAATAATGATCCTACACCAATAGTCTTAAGCTTCTCTCAGATTCTGTGAGTACACCTTCGTAAATGTAAGCATGAATACCATTGGATACATAATCTATATTTGTAAAGTGTATACTTCAGCATCATGTCAAAATAGGCCAAACATGACCATGCTTTTTGGTAAAGCTATAAGGAGAATGCTAATATAGAAATTATAAACATAATCCCGAGTCACAACTATGAATCAGTGATCAATATTAAACGTGCGCAAACTTTCCCAAAAGTGAAGTGTATGTATATATATATACAGAAAGTTACTAAGTAGAATACACAAGGAATACATGTTTCTAGACGGTTTACAAGACCAAGAAGTCTGTTCATAATCTCGATACAGAGAGGGGGAGGTTCTTTAAGCTGCATTACAACAAACATAATTTTATTTGGAAACTCTAACTATTAAAAAGAGACGGGTTAGCTGATGCCGTACCCACTTGTACTTCGAGTAGTTCAAGCCGACGTTCCAGAGTATCAAGCTTCTCATTCAATGAAGCCAACTTGCTCTTTGTTGTAGCCTCTGAAATAGCAAGAAGAACAAAATAATAAGATGAGAATATTGTAACACTAAGACCCAATACCAGAACCACCTTGCAAGAACAAAAGAAGATTTCCAATTCACCTAGAGCATTTCCAAACAAAAGCATGACTAAGAAAGAGAAATTAAACTGACGTAGGATTGACGCAACAATTCCTCCCTAAAGTTGCAAACTGGAAGGAGAGCCGCAATCAAATCCTTTAAACATCAACCCATGACCAAACTCGGGAATCCACCCGAAGCACTATCCATTTGGGCCCTTACTTCGAGGAGTCCCTTACGAATCCGTGGGAGCACCCAACAGACGGGCTCAAGCACTTCTTCGAGGCCCAAGCCATGTAGTCCCCCTCCCAAGTTCAAGTATGCCCGGGCATTATAAACATATAAAAGTACTGCAGTACAACACTAGCAGGGAAATAAAGAAGTTCGCCTTCCCCACCTAGAGCAAGGGCCGTCTCTGCATATTTTGGTTGTATTTAATGTATTCTAATTATACTATCTTCTAGTATAATCATTAGAACTTGGTCTAATTGGATTTATTGGTTGTTTCATCAATGATGTTGGATCAAAACCCCTTTTTGACTCTGCATTGGTAATTCTACTATTATTGGTGAACAGTGATTGAATAATTCCTTCATAGAGATCGATAACATAATTCACATGGATATAGTGAGTCTGGCTCGGGCTGCTTTAGTGGTACGTTTCGCCTACAGATTTATGGATACTACCAACAAAAAAATCTCATTTACTAGCAATTTTATGACTTTATCTTGAGCAAGAGGACAATGTAAGAGACAAACATTTGAATTCAAATAAAACTGAAGCAAAGACTCCACCAGAGTTACTAATAACAGCTCATAGATTTGGTTATGAGAAAAGCAATAAAATTCATCTATCAAAATGCGAAGACTAGTCTTAAACTATGAGCAGCAAGAAAGCTTATTATACAAGCGAAAATTAACAATAGCTACAAATTGCTTATCCTAAACAAGACATTGAACTTTTTAGGAATTACAGCCCAAATTCCGAATATTCGAGAGCAATACAAAAAACAAAAAGAACATAAACACGCAGGCTTGATAGTGATCGAGCCTCGAAATGAGAGCTACATCCACTTACGCTGCAAAAAACTTGGTCAGTTATCACCAGAATCCTGGTTTTGGCAACTCAAGCCACAGAACAATCAGTCAAATTTTCCAATTGGGGTGAACCCTATGTAGTCAAAGATTGCCCTTTATAACAGCCTAAGGCGCTCCCCAAAAAAATAAAAAAAAACACACATGGCAAACCAAAAGTTTTAAATTTGAAGCAAGAGTTTTAACTAATTCATTCATATGGTAAAGAATATAGATGTTGATGAGCTAGGCACTAATGGGTTCTCAATCAAATTGCTTGATTAATTCGAAAATTAACGCACAAGAAAATCAATCCAAAACGCCTAATTAGGAACGCCGAATCAGCAAAATTTCCATAAGAAACTCAAATAAAAAAAATGGATTGACCAAAGTCAACTGGCAATATCTCAAACGACACAAACCCAGATGAGCAAAAACCATGAAAAAGAAAACCCAAATGGTGGAAAAAAGGGAGGACTTTGGGGAAGATGGGCATTTACCGAATTGAACAAGGAAATCGAAAAGGCGGCGAACGTTGAGGGAAATGTGGGAAATGAACTCGCGATTCTCCCAATCGGCTTGAACTGCTATTCCAACGTTCACTGCATTTGTAATCCCTCCTGCTCTTGCCATTTTGCTGTACTCTCTCTCTTGCCCACACCACAGAGATGATACTCAGAAGGAAGGTTTCGAGATCTAAAAAACTCGGATTTGTAAAGAAACGGAAGGGATTGGTTGGGGCAGTTAGGTCGGGGAAGTGGACTTGTGTTTACTTTTTAGTACCTGATATAATGGCAATATGTTACTGCGCCGACACGATTCGAAAATAATATAAATTTTATAGGTTAAAATTAAGAAAAAAAATATTTATATTAAAATTAAATCGATCTGAAATTGATATAAAAAATACAGGTCAGTTTTAGAATAGACCCGCCTAATTCAAATACAATACGAAACTCATAAAAAATTAAAAAATACATATATTTTTAATTACATATTTTTTATTTTATTATGAACTTGTGATATCATGAAAGTTATACTCAAAATTTAATACTATTATTTGCTTAATTTCAATGGATGTTATTGTTTTTTTATGTGTTATGAATTTTAAGTTATTTTTAATATGTAAAAAACTAAATAAAAGTATACAATTTTCGTGTCAATTTCGGGTTCACGGGTCAATTTTGTGTCACATGTCATTTTCGTGTCGTGTCAACCCGTAAAGTGATCGTATCGTGTTCATAGTTTACTATAAATTTTAAATGAAACGATCAAAACACGACACGTAACACGAATTATCACCTCTACTTTGAAGGTAAGCTCTTTCTCTCTCTTCACTCCAATTTTACCATTTACCACATAAAACATCTTTTTTTATTTTTTTCCTCCTAAATCTAAACAAACAAAATCCAGGCGTAATTACTCTCTGTCGGGGTCCGGTAGACCAGGAGTATAACGCGTGTGAGATTGACACACGTAAGTATATGACTCGTTAAAATAAGATCCAACGTTGCCGAAGTACATGGAAAGCTTTGAAGTAGATAAAGATGGCAAGACTCCGACGAAGAGATGGGATGGTTAGGCGGGCCCAAAGAGAACCGAAAGAATTAGATCCTAAGACCCGCTTTGTTATTGAATGACCAAAATGCCCATGCAAAACAAGCTAGAGAACTCGAAAAAAAAAATGTATAAAACAAACTACATAGATGAATAATGATAGGAAGAATGATCAGGTAGTTGATGGAGATGAGATTTGCATATTGCACAGGGCATTGGCAGTGCAGTGCTTTGGAGACAGATGCGGATTGCTTTAAGAGTGAAGAAAGTGACTCGTTTGGTGGATAAGGCTTGGTGAAGAGCGAAAGTGTGACTCACGAGGCGGATAAGGCTCTAGTAAAGAGACACTCCCAGAGTAGACGCGGGCGGTTCTGACAGAGAGGACGTCGTTTGGGTAGCGAAAGTGACCCCGAGGATGAATTCTCAAGTGTTTCTCGAAGAATATGAAGAAACTTCAAAATATTCTCGAATACTAACGAAGGAAGAACAAAGGGAGTTCTTGAGGAGTTTCTAACGCTGGCAACACTTAGAAACTATACAACCCCTTAAGAACTTGAGGAAATTTAAGTCTTTGTAGCAACAGATTGAAGGAAAATTGATCATAGTGTGGGCTAAATGAGAGAGAGACAGAGTAGTGTTTCTTGTGGGTGTTATGGCTATGTTGAAATGAGAGAGATATTTATAGGTGAAAATGGTAGTATTTTGGCAGCAACTCTAGAGGCAAACTGACGGCACTCTAACGGAGGCCTACACACGCAATTCTGATGCTACAAAACCATCTGCCACTTTTTCTGGAGTTGAAAAGGAGTTTGGCCATAAGTGAAATGAAAAGTTCATGATGTTTGCTCCAAAGGCAGATCGGTGACGCTCTGATAGAGACCTACACACGCAATCCTGTTGGAGCAAAACCATCAGATGCCTTTCATGGTTGACAAAGAGATGGTCTAAAAATGGAATGACTTAGAGGCAAAGTTCCGGATTTAGGGTTGATATGGAGCTCTCCTAAGTCTAAAACTCTCAAAGAGTGTTTGACTCAACTTCATGCTTTGTTGACCTCCTCTTTCGAAGGTTTGATCATGTGTCAAACCTTGTCAGAGATGGTTTGTACGAGAATGGTTAAGCAACTATCATATTTGCTCTGACGTGAAGATTTGCTCCGGCAGGTGAGCTTGGGTAGAAGAAGTGCAAAGGAGGCGTGTCTGACACGGAGAAAGGCTCTGTTAGGCATACTTGGACAGTTAGACGTAAAGAAAATGCTCCAAGACACATGCCTCTCCAAGACACATGCCTGCCACGGAAGGAGCTTCCGTTAAGTATTATCTGGCAAGGATAGAAGAAGTTTTGAGGATATGTCTGTCACGGATGATGACTTCGTTGGGCAATTCCAGTGTGAATGGATCCTCCGTTGAAGTTAAAACAACGAGATTCAAACATTGGCTGGCGGGAAAAACTCAAAGGGATTGACTTGAGGTTTTGAGCTTCTAAAAGGACTGGAGGAAGGCCTTTTACAAATTCTTTTCGCCTATTTATATTTAATTAGATTAGTATGAAAACCCTCCAAGTGAGATTTAAATTAATATTGAATTAAATGATAAATAGGCTACATGACCCATTAAACTACGACCCACGTAAATTCTCCGAACATGGTTTGGGTTTACGAAGCGAGTCAAATAACATTACGTAACACAAAAGTTGGGTCTGGACCCATAAATGGACCAGTATAAAATCGGATATTAACACTCTCAAATGTCGAAAATTGAATATCAACGTAATTGTTCTAGGATTTCTCTCTCAAATAGCCATCACTACTAATAGCCATCACTACTTTTATCAAAGGTAATTGTGTCTTTTTTTCTTTTATATAGTTAATTTTGACTAAACATAACATCAATATTGTGCGATAAGAAGATGTAGAAATGAATTTCGTCTTATTAAAAATACAAGAAATAATCAGCATTTCTTAATAATATATAACGCATCCGCATTTTAATTTGATTAAACACGAGAGGTTTACGACATCAATGTAATCACAAGCCGTTTTCTCTCAAAAAGTTGGATTTTTGGCGTGAACGGTCCCTAAACATTATTTTTAAGAAGTGATAATTTCATCCTAATTGGTTTTTCAGCCAATTAGTTCATGAACTTAATTTCTTAGCAGGTTGCTCCTAACAATAAATTGACGCTGGCTTTTTTATGTTAATAGAAGCCATTTTGATCTTCAAAGACATAAAGTTCACTTAAAGAACATGTCGTTTATTCTTCAAAGCTATCTCATTTCTCGGCTAAAGTTTCTTATACGGCCATCAGAAAACAGAAAACGCGGCATTTTAAAGAAGTTGTTTACACGTTTAAACGACATTTGGTTATTTAGATCGTCTCTCTAGTGTGCAATCACTAATGGGATATTTGGGAAAGCTTGAGGATTTATAGAACTACTGAAATTTAAACACATCCACTGTTCCACTTTACTTGAACACTGTAAGGCAACCTGTTATGAATGATGAATGGTTCTTCCAAGTTCTTAAAATATTATTTCCAGGCAGTTATTGCCACCAATCCCTCATGGGGATATGCCCAAAGCAGTCGAAATTAACTTCACTCCCACCGGAGAATTTACATCATGTAAAAGCCTGCAGCTCCAATTCGCATCCCCATCGAGCAGTTGATTGAAAAATCAAGCGGTTGCAACTTGTAGGAGGCCATTGTGCCTGAGTAGTGGCTCTGGTGAAGGTTCGCGCCCTCGGAATTCCACAAAAACCTGGTGGTGTTCAGCAAATCAGCTTAAATGAGATCCAAAAGTTTACACCCGGTAAGAGCAGTCCATCAGAATCACAAAGCAAGGATCCCACATGGCAGAAACCCAATTTTCTAAGGTTTAAGTGGTAATAATACCACAATGACAAAGACTTGTAGCGGTATAGCAAGTGAGAAAAACTGGAAGCATGAAAATATTCTCCGGCGAAGAAACTGGAAAAGAAAAGAAAGACCATTATACAAGAAGATATGTTTTCACGGACTGACCTCTAGTGGTTCTTTTCCGCCTCCAAGAGCAAGAATGGTTTCTCTGAACCTCTGCCCTGTTTCTTTGACAGCCTATTGCAAGATAACAGTTATTTAGGCATCCAGTATATTCGGTAGAACAAATAGAGACTACGGCATGTTTAATTTAGATTTGAACGTGACTTTTGTTGATTTATGTTTTCATCATACATGAGACTCTCATTTATTTATTTATTTATTTCCTTGTTTTACGTTTAGGAGAAGCAGCAAAAAACCGGACAGTATACAAGTACTTTTTTTATTCCCTCACAGTATTGGATACTATGATTGAAATGTACGAGACTTTCCTAAATATATTTTTAAAGAAGAAAAAAACTTCCAAGTGATTTTGGCAATGTTACAATGTCAAACTTATGCAGCAGGCAGTGCTACAAATTTAGAATCTACTTTCTTTTTATCGAAAGATACACATTTGGAAACTAATCAAGCTATGATTTGTTCCAAACTTTTGAAAGAGTGTGACGCAAAATTCTTTCGGGGAGCTCTATTGGACTTACCTTGCTGTCGTCCAATCCAGCATCCTCAAATGCAGAGAAAGCATCTGCTGACAACACCTCGGCCCACTGAAAAACAATAGAAATTTGCCTCAGGAGATGTGAAAATAGGAAACAAAAATAAGATTACAAATTAAGCTCACACATCATTAAGAAAACACAGATTCTATTCTCATTTTAAGTCTCTATGTGGGTATCCTCAAGCTGAAAGGTGAGGGGAATAATATTAAAGGTGCAATACTTCTCAAAGAAAGTGTTTTGCAATTAGCTAATAGGAAGCATAACAATACCTTGTAACTGTAGTATCCAGCTGCATAACCACCTAACAGTTGCAAAGAGTAACATATTAAACACACATAAGAGATGAGATAGTAGCTAAAATGAAAAACAATTTAAGATTTTGAAATCAAATTAGAAAGATACAGCAAACCTGCAAATATATGGCTGAAACCACACAGGAACCTGTCTTCTGGAAGGGGCGCGAGCACTTGTGTTCTTTCACAAATCTTCCTGTCAACATCATAGATGGATTCTGAACCACCAGGAATGTATCTTGTATGCAGCTCCAAATCCACACTCGCAAATCTTATCTGAAAATTAATAAGTAAATCTATAAGCAAATATATACCACACAAGTCTTCAGAATACAAATATTGCTCAATGCTTGGATAATCAATCAAAATAAATAAATAAATAAATAAAAGGGGGAAGATAAATCCCATGAGAAACCTTTCATTTGAGGACAAATATAACACTGTATTGTTAACATTTAGATTCTTAAATAGCAAGTTAAATATATATATATATATATATATTTCCCTAAAAAAAGCTTGACGTGCCATTATCATATAATCCACAACAGTAGCACAAACGAATATAAAAAACACAAGAAAGTAAAGATGGTAGGGGATGAAAAAACAGGACCCGCATATTGAACTAACCTGACGAAGACTTAGGGACCCTGCACGGAAAGTCCTAGCCGCAAGAAGCTTCAGATATACATCTTCAGGAAGAGTTTCACCAGTTTCATAGTGTTTTGCTATACTCATCAAAGTATCCCTATCAGAGCAGTTAACAAATTAATTGCCGACAAAAGCATAAAAACTTTGGAGTACAACACAAGCTAGTTTTTAGAATAAGTTTAGACTTTAGATATTAATTCACGTATATAGCTCAACCACACTAAACACAAGCTACTGTAAATTTAAAAGACACAGTCCTATACCCGAAAAAAAGAGAGGACAAAATACCTATGATAACACCAGTTTTCCATGAACTGTGAAGGCAATTCAACAGCATCCCATTCAATTCCTCGAATACCGGCAACTAGACCCTCATCCTGCTTAGTCAGCATATGCTGAAGTGCATGACCAAATTCATGGAAGACTGTCTCTACCTGCAAACAAATCATAGTTCCTTAACTTTTTTCACAATGTATCTGATAGAGACCCTGATTTTCATTGGGATTTAAGCAGATTACTGAAGAGGACAATGAGAATTTCTTTATTGAACAGATCAATGTCTTGGCTACAGAGTGTGGCAGGGCTTTCGAGAGCCATATCTCTCCCAATCTCAGCTTATCTAAACTAATCCCACAATTTGCCTACCAATCTCACTACTCCCTTTTCCCACTAACTACCTAGCAGACTCTTAACAGAAGCTACTTATCAGAACAAAACCCATCCAACAGCTTTATAACAATCTCACACTCTTACATTCAAGCCAACCAACTACTAAAGACTATATAAGACCTATTGGTTTCATACATAAGACAACCCAAACTTCACTCAGTGTTCTATAATGCTGCATCCCAAAGATGTGGGTTGACTACAATGAACATTTAGATATCCTTTTTCTCTTCTCTTCCCTCCATATACTCCTAAAACAAGATATATAAATGGTGGGCCACCACAGAAGTAGAAATATAGCTAGATGTCCACATTACTATACCTCCACCATTTTTTACCCATGGAGCATAATGATTTCACATTCCTTCATTCATTTTGCACTTTTTTCTTTCCAACAATTACAGCTGAATGTCATTTTTGTTCTTGTTCATTTCGATAGTATGTGGACAGTATGCTCAAATTCTTAATCTAATTAAATTTACCTCACGAAAGGTCATTAAGCTTGGCTTGTTCCCAACTGGTGGTGTTTGATTGCACACCATGTGGGCCACAGGCAACCGTGCAGATGTACCATTCCGTGACAAAACACGACTACGAGAAACAACCTCATCCATCCATGCACCTCCCCTTTTCTCTGAGGGTCGAGTATAAGGATCAAAATAAAAGTATGCAACAGGGTTAGCTGAAGAATCTTTCACGCAGTAGAATCTAACATCCTTATTCCACACCTACAAAGAATAATCATATGTTTAAACTATTATTTCTGTTTGCATTAAAAAACACATTAACATTTAGTGAAATAAACAAAACAAACCAAAGTTGGAGCAGTTGAAATACATACTGGAGCCAGACCATCAGCCGGTTTAACTTCAATTCCAAAAAGTGTCTTGGCAAGGTTGAAAAGGCCATCCATAACCTTTGGCAAGGAGAAATAAGGACGTAATTCTTCCTGCAGTATAAGAAGCCATAAGCACAGGCCACTTAACGCCTTAGTTGAATTCCAAAATCAAAAGATAAATGACCATAAAAAAGAATATAGCTAAGAAAGAGAAAAAAAAAAGTTTAGATACAAAATAATAATAATAGTAATAATAATTTATACTGTAATTTTCTTTTCATGGTAACTCGCGATATCAAAAGAAAAAAGATAAATAAATAGAGAGAGAGCCAAATTTTAAATATTTCTCACAATATTAAAGCAACTGAGTAACAGATAAGTTTTGAAGGGATTTAATGGCGTGAAATAGACAAGTGATAGTAAGTACACCAAAACTGAATTCAAACATAAAATAACTAACATGTGATATAGGCACATGATTGGATAAGATCCTTATATTTCTCTAACTTGCAAACTTGGTATTGAACCATAATCCAACAAAAATCAGTTTTTTCCATAGAAAATGCAAATGCTGGATGCTTGAAGGCCTTAAAAAAAAAATATACAAGCTGATATTGCGTCCATACAAAATGCACAAAGCTAATTACAATATCCAGAAAGTGGAATAAATTATAAGAAATTGCATAGACATGGATTTGCACATGATGACGGGAGGGATCTGACCTCATTGATGTCATATTTTGACTCACGAAGCCTCTCACTCCAAAAGCTAATGTCCCAATGGTTCAAGTCATCAGCTTCTGATGCACCTTGCTTCTTGGAGAAATCCTTAAGATCTTCCATATCTAAAAGGATGAGAGATGCAATCAAACCTTCAGCGTATTTTCCAAAGTAAATGATTTTCCTTGATCAAGAATTATTAACTTTGACAGGGCTTCTTCTTTTTTAACAGTTTCCAAAGTAAAGCGATTGTATTGGACACAATTAGTTTCAAGTCCGGTTTGATTTACACGAGTTGCTCAAGATAAACAGAATTCTAAGAGGATTGGAAATGAAACTAGTTGAATACCACAGAAAAACACAAAAAGCAATAATTGTTGAATAATTTACAGACTTATTCAACAGAGGATGAATTACTATAAAGATTATATTTTCAAAATTATTCAATAAACTTGCACTATTTATATGTCATGTTCATAAATATTGAATACCCCACCTTGAACTGCAGCATCCCAAGACGCACTGCGAAGCTTTTCTAGGAGCTCTTCTGCTTTTTCAACATTTGCCATTTTGGTTGCCATGCTTACCTGTTAGATTGTTCTTGTCATGCCTATTGCAAAAAATTAGTTTTACCATAAGACAAGAAAAACCTACCTCAGCATAGTTGTTGTAATTTAGAATGTTGGCCTTTTCCAACCTAAGCTTCAAAATTTCATCAATGATTGATGTATTATCTAGGTCCCCACTAGAGGCACGAGTAACATAAGCACGGTAAATTTCCTCGCGCAATGACCGGTTTCGAGCATGTTGCATGACAGACAAAAAGCTCGGAGCATCTAAAGTGATTGTCCAGGGCCCGTTCTCAGCAGTAGCGTTTTCATGCCCCTGAAGAGACACACAGATGATGCTTTACGTGATACAGCTGAAAACCAAGTATACATATGAACTTATGATGAACAGTCACATTCAACATGGAATACCTTTGAAATGGCTGTTTGTGCAGCCATCCCAAGAGCAGTAGCTGGCAATCCCTCAATTTCTTTCTTATCAGTAATTAATTTTTCGAACTTTTTTGTGGCATCTAAAACATTCTCCTCAAATTTTTGAGACAATCTTTCCAGTTCCTGCAAGTAAAATCATGATCAAAACACATAATCTAATGCAATATGTGATATGAAAGCTTTCTTCTTAAGCAACACTTATTGAAGCTTTCCTTCTAAGCAACATTTATTATCACATAAACCCATCCAATTTTCAATGTCAACAAGTACTTTTTCTTCCATAATTCATTTAACAAGAGATAGAACCAGCTTCCCCTAACTACTTAACAACAATCATCTGACTTGAGACAAACAAGCATTGATATGTATATATATATATATATATATATATATATATAACAAGCATGTGCTTGATTGAACAATTGATATACTGAAGGCAAAGGGGAAGGGGAAGCCTTCCATCCTGCATGCTTCAATGTTGGAAACTTGAGCACACCTGTTGAATTTTGTTAAAAATCTCTTTCTTATCATCTTCAAGAGAAACACCAAGGAGAACCGCTTCCTTTATTGAGGCTGCATGTGAAAAATTAATATTCAAGAGAAAAGGTTAGACCAAGACAAGTCTAGACTAAATTATTAAGGTGATCTAAGACGAAGAGACATAAAACAGCCAAAGTGGGGTTCACGAAATATAAATACAGTGGCTTTGCAAAGATGCCGTTTGGTATTAAAAAGCAAAGATCTAGACTACTTTTTTTTTTGTATCTAGAAATCCCCAAAAATGAGCCCGGGTTTGAAACTAGAGCCTTGCGCCAAATATGCCTATGAGGCGGTTCGAACCCAGATGGGATGTGGGGAGCAAACCAAAGGCCTGGCCATTCCAACCGACCCCATGGTTAAAGCAAAGCTTTAGAGCTTTAGGTCTCGCTCCCTTCACGAATTCGAGTTTTTAATTTGAACTGAGATATAACATTTCCAGTGAGTTTTTAACTGTAGCAAAAAAAAATTAAATGTGATATTTTATGAGGGTTTTTAACTGTAAAAACTTAAAACTGAAAACTCGAATTGAAATGGCGTTAGAATACTGCCACTGATCTCTTAAGAAGACCTCTTTTACCGGTATAAGCATTATTTCAGCTACTCTCTATATAGAGGGAAAAATATTGGTTTTCAATTCCCATCAACATGATATAAATAGTTTAGACTTTAGACACTCACATTCCACAATACGTTTCCTTGCATCACTAAGCGTATCCCACTCGGGAGATTCTCGAATAGCTTTGAACGCATTATAGATGGGTTTGCTTTGTCCCAACCTAAGCTGGAACTTCACTTTCTCGGGCTGCAAATTCCACAAACAAATAAAATTAAGAACAAACAAAAACAGAAAAACGAAATTGAAACACAAAAAGATCGTATTTCTTTACCAAGTCTGAAAATTTTCCAATTTTCAATTGTCATGTAAAACAAACACCACACCTGGACTTCTTCAATGGCGGAACGAAGGTCGGAGGAATCCTTGACGGACTTGAGATGGTTGACTATCCCCCAGAGAACACTCAACCGGTCAACGATCTTCTCCAACGGCTCGACCAACTTCGGCCAGTTCGGCTCAACCGTCCGCTCCAGCTCCACCAAATCATCCTCCTACAAACACAAACCACTCCAAATCAATCAATCAATCAATCAAACGAAATGCTAGAAACCGAAATCCGAAAAAGAGAGAATCAATCCGCGTACGCACGAGTTTCTTCAGTAGTTCGCGGATCCCGGGGCGCACGTGCGAGGCTTCGACGGCGTCGAACGGCGGGAAGTCGAAGTCCTGAAGGAGCGGATTGGAGTGGAAGAGAGCGTCATCGGCGACGGCGGCGGCGGCAGCCATGGATGGAGGAGAGAGGGAAGACGAAGAGCACGAGAAGGAGAGAGAAGAAGAAGAAGAAGAAGAAGAAGAAGAAGTGGTTATGGCGGATTTGTGGAGGCAGAGAGAGAAGGAAGAAGACCAGAGAGGGCAGAAATGGGATTTTGGGAAATGATTGGATTTGGGAGAAGAGAAGAAACGACGACGAAAAGGTGTGCGTTTAAGGAGAGGGTGGACTGACCGAGAGAGACCAATGCGAGTCGCCATGAGAATGTTTGCTATAAGAAGAGCTCCCAATAGGCCTCTCTTTCGTAGCAAAATTACCAACTTCATTTTTTTTTTCTATGACGATTTTGTCCACAAAAGGTACAAATATCTTGGATGGGATGTGCCTACAAGTTTCTCACTTTAATTTCTTTCGTGCACTCTTACATAGAATTTAGAAATTAGAGTTGTCTTGATTTTCTTTAATTAGGATTTTTTTTAATGGGAATCTTTTGTTGGGTTGGAATCAGAATTTACATTAGTGAGTGGTTAGAGCGCTTTTTTTTGGAAGTTGATAGTTGTTACTTAAAAGTCATATTCCTTTGATATTTAGCAAACAAAATATTCACCACATTTAGAGTAAAAAAATTCCTTTGATATTTAAATAACGTATTCCTTTGACTTTATAATAATATTATTATTATTATTTTGGCTAAAGTTGTCATAACAAGCCAATAGAATCCTTTATAACAACCTTTATTTGCAAACGACATAGCAGCATGTATCCATGTCTGAGTTTTGTAAAACTTCCAATCAGATAGTATCCAGTTTAGAACCGGTAATATGGGTCACAATACGACGACACGACTCGAAAACGACACGAATTTTACGGGTTAGGGTTGAGAAAAAAGAGGTTCGGGTCAAAATTTGATCGACCTGAAATTGACACGAAAAACACGGGTCAATTTCGGGTTGGACCCGCCTAACCCGAACACGACACGAAACTCGTAAAAAACTAAAAAATACATATATTTTGCATTGCATATTTTAAATTTTATTATGAACTTGTGATATCATGATAGTTATACTCAAAATCTTATGTTATTATTTGCTTAATTTCAATGGATGTTATTATAATTTAGTGTGTTATGAATTTTAAGTTATTTTTAATATGTAAAAAACTAAATAAAAGTATACAATTTTATTTTCGGGTCAATTTCGGATTCACGGGTCAATTTTGTGTCACGGGTCATTTTCGGGTCGTGTCGTGTCAACTCGTAAAGTGGTCATGTCGTGTTCGTGTTGTGGTTTTTAAAAAATTTCGTGTCACGGGTCATGTTCGGGTTGACTGCAAATTTAAAAAGAAACGATCAAAATACGACACGAACACGACACATGACACGAATTGCCACCCCTAATCCAGTTAACTTGAGCTCGACCTGACACATTGTATATATCTAATATTTCAGTATCATTTAGCGGAAAAACAAGATTTCAGCATAGATTTAAGTTTTTATTTTTTTTATTTTTATGGTTCAATGTGATACGTTAGTTTAATTTTAAAAACAAATGATACTATAGTCATGGGAATTAGTTTCAAAAACTAATTCTTCTCATAGATCATGGACAGCTTGAACTAAAATATAAATTTTGTAAGAAAAAATACTGTACTAAAAAGGTTGAATTGTGATTCGAACCGATAACCATAAACTTTTTTTTTGGTTTTTTTTTTTTTGGAGGAGTTGGACTACCATGTGGTGTAGGTGGTAGCTGGGTCTTTTTTGGCTATACCAAATGGGTCGGCTGTGCAAACCAAACCCTATTATCCACAGAACAAATTAATAACAAGACTTCAATTGGCTCAGCAATTTAGGGTAAATTCATTAACTAAAATACGTCTGTCAACTTAGCTATATATAGTTGGGATTACAACATAAGAAAATGACTTGTTGGGCACACAACGACAAGAAAAAGGAAGAGGGACTAAACAACAAAAGCTTAAGTGACAAACATGTGCCTAAATGACAATAGGAGCCCCTGCATCATTGTTTCCCTCCGCGGAAGAATTCGACTCTGAATTCTCAAGGATGGTGGTGTTCGCAGCGTCTGGAGGGTGGTAGTCAAACAAGTCAGCAACGTTGAAGGTGCTGGAAACCTGTAAGTCTGGCGGCAAGTCAATGACGTAGGCATTGTTATTAATCTTTTTGAGGACCATGTATGGTCCGAACTTCTTACACTGTAGCTTGTGGTATGTCCGGATCGGCATCCGCGACTTGCGCAGGTGGACCATCACCAGATCTCCCTCAGAGAATAGCTTCTCTCTTCGATGTTTGTCAGCGGCCTCTTTATACTTACTTTTGGAATGAATCAGTCGAGCCTTAACCTCTTAATGTGTGTGCACCACTTGATCAGCAAGCTCCGCTGCAGTCTTGCTCCGAAAATGTGGTAGGCGCAATAGGTCGATAGTCTGGTTTGGAAGCTTCGTATACACGACGATGAATGGGCTACGCCTGATGGAACGATTCTCAGCACTGTTGAAGGCGAATTCAACCTGAGCAAGGGCCATATCCCACTGCTTTGGTTGATCTGTAGCCAGGCATCGAATCATGCTACCCAACGTCCGGTTAACCACCTCGGTTTGACCGTCCGTCTGTTGATGGGCAGTGCTGCCAAACTAAAGAAAGGAGTTAAATCGTTTCCAGAGTTCTCTCCAAAAGTGGTTGATGAACTTGACATCACGGTTGGAAGTGATTGTTTTTGGGACCCCATGGAGGCGTACGATCTCTTTAAAGAACAACTGAGCCACATTACTGGCATCCACGATTTTCTTGCAGGCAACGAAATGAGCCATCTTCGAGAAATGATCCAAGACCACCATGACGGAGTCAAAGTGGTGAGACAAAGTCAATGCTCAAGCCCTCCCAAATGTTGTCCGGAACAGAGAGGGGCAAATAGAGGCCGGTGTTTTGGCCATGTACTTTTGCGCGTTGGCATATCCCATACCGCCGAACAAAGTTAGTTATTTCCTTCCGCATATACGGCCAGAAAAATCGGTTGGCGAGGAGCTCATAGGTCATGTCTTGCCCTGGATGGGCTGCTACTCCTCTTGCATGTAGCTCCATGATCAAATGTTCCCAGAGGGATGAATGACGAATGCAAAGCTGGCCACCCTTCAGCAAGTACCCACGGTGGATGTGATAGTCAGCGATTCGGTCACCGGCAGAACATCGCACCCAAAGAGCACCAAAATCTTCATCATCGGCGTATTGGTCGCGCAAGCTTTCAAGGCTAGTTACTTCCATTGCTAAGGTGGTGAGCAGATGCAGCTTGCGGCTGAGGGCGTCTGCCACTTTGTTTGATTCCCCAGACTTATGTTGGATCACAAAGTTGAACCGCTGAAGGTAGATGACCCATCTAGTGTGCATCCGGTTAGTGGCCCTTTAAGAGTGGATGTACCGTAAAGCTTGGTGATCGCTGTGGAGGACGAATTCTTTGGAGAGGGGTATGGCTCCCAGTGTTGCAGGGCCCGTACTACAGCAAAACATTCCGGCTCGTAGGGGCTACACTTGCATCTGGCTTCATTGAGTTTCTCACTGAAGAACTCAATCGGCCTCCCATCTTGAGTGAGCACTGCCCCGATGCCAACCATGGAAGCATCAGTCTCGACCTCAAAAACCTTGTCAAAGTTCGGCAGGGCCAATACAGGAGTTGTGCTGAGCTTCTCTTTGACCAAAGTAAAGCTCTGTTCTTGTTCAGCCCCCCACGTGAACCGGCCCTGTTTCAAGCAATCCATGATAGGCGCTATGAGAGTGCTAAAGTGCCGAATAAATCATCGATAAAATGTGGCCAGTCCATGAAAGCTCTGAACATCATGCACGATGGTGAAGGTTGGCCAGTTACGGATTGCTTCCACCTTGCACTCATCCGCCTCAATGCCCTGCGTACTAATCACAAAACCTAGGAAAAGTAACTTATCAGCAAGAAACTCACACTTCTTAAGATTGAGGAAAAACTTGTGTTCCCTCAGGGCCGTTAGCACCTCCATAAGCTGCATCATGTGCTCTGTGGGGTCTTTACTGTAGACTAGACTGTCATCAAAGTAAACGACCATAAACCTTCCAATAAACGACTTGAGAACATGATTCATGAGCCGCATGAAGGTGCTTGGCGCGTTACAAAGGTCGAATGGCATAACTTGCCACTCGTACAAACCCTCCCGCTTTTAAAGGCGGTCTTTCATTTGTCCTCTGGCCAGATTCGAATTTGATGGTAGCCGCTCCAGAGGTCAAGCTTGGAAAACAATATCGAGCCATCGAGCTTGTCAAGAATATCTTCAAGGCGTGGAATGGGGAACCGATATTTAACGGTTATTTTGTTTATGGCTCGGCTATCGACGCACATCCGCTAACTGTCATCCTTTTTGGGCACTAGCAGGGCTGGCACGACGCACGGACTCAGGCTAGGCCGGATGAGTTACTTTTGCAGAAGGTCTTCTACCATTCGTTGTAGGGTATCATGCTCGAGGGGCCCCATCCGGTAATGTGGGAGGTTTAGCAGGCTTGCACCGGGAGTGAGATCGATGCAGTGTTGGATCTCCCTCATTAGGGGTAGCTCCTCTAGTAGTTCATCTGGGGTGAGGTCACTGAATTCCTTCATTAAAGCCTGTACTTCTTGGGGAATGGGACCAGAAACCGCCTCTGTCCCCTTTGAAACTAGAGCTATGATCACCTTCGCGGCTCGGAGGTCTTGCTAAAATGGTTTTCCCAAAGTTGTAAGGAATAGTCGCCCCCTTCGATCACCCTGGGCAGCGACTTGCTCTTGAGGGGGAAACGGCATGAGAGCTATCTTCTTGCCGAGCCAAGTGAACTCATAGCAATTGGTCCTGTTGTCGTGCTTAGCGTTCACATTAAACTCCCAAGGTCACACACTTTCTTGATAATGGTTGCCAATGGAGAAGGAAACCTTGCAGATGGTATCTACTGAAGCTTCGACCCCTTTCTTGATCCACCCAATCTTGTAGGGCCGGGGGTGTTTCTCGGTAGTGAGGTTGAGGGTTTTGACCAAAGCCTTTGAAACGAGGTTGTCACTACTGCCACTATCAATAATAAGGTCACACACTTTCATGTTGACCGTGCATAGAGTCCAAAAAATGGAGTGGCGTTGGTTCGCACTGTGTTGCCTTGGTGACAACAAAATCCTCTGTACCATGCAAGCAATTCGGTCTCCGAATACTTGCTCTACCTCTTCGGGTTCTTCCTTAATTGCCTCAATTTCCTCTTCTTCGTTGTCAACGCCCAACTCACTGATAAGGTTGATTAGTTTGCGAAAGGGACACTCGTTGGATCGATGTCCCGGCTTGTTACAACGGTAGCACTTCCCTGCTATGGGTCGGGCATAGGGGTTGTTAGCCACTTGGACTGAAGGGAGCTGTGCCAGGGCGGGCATCTTCTGATTTTCAACGGGGGCCTTCCTGTGAAGTGCTGCTGGAGGACGTTGTGAGGGTTCGCTTGTACCCTCTCGCACCGTCGGGTATTCCCCAGAACAGCGATTCAACTGAGTTCGATTTCCACTACGGGACTGTTGAGCTTCGACTTTGTAGGCCAGTGTGATTGCTTCAGTGAGGTTCCAAATAGGGCTCAGCGTGAGTTGATCCTAGATGCTCTCCCTTGACCCTCCGACGTACCTAGCAATTTGTTGGTCTTCTGACTCCGGGAGATTGTTGCAAGTGCTCAGTCGATAATACTCTTCGGTGTATCCTCCAACGCTTCGGCCCGCTGCGAACAGCATTGGTATTGCCAAAATAAGGTCTGCTCAAAGTCATTTGGCAAGAACCGTTGCCGCATCAGTTGTTTCATGAGAACCCACGAGCGAACCAGTGGTCTCCCATCTCTTTCCCTGTTCTTGCTAACGGCAATCCACCAGGCGGCACGGCAATCCACCAAGCGGCAGCCCCTTTGGTTAGCTTGGAAGCCACAAACTTAGTCTTCTTATCTTCTGGTACAGTTATGTATTCGAAGAAGTTATCTACCTTATGCTCCCAGTTAAGGTAATCCTCAATGTCCAGATGTCCATCAAAGCTAGGCAACTCCAATTTTAACCTAAAATCTGAGTTTCGGTCCCCATTAAAACGAGGGTTTCGCTGTTCATACCTGGTGCCTCGGTTGAGCCACGGATCAAAGTCCTCCTCGAAGTCCAGACGCATCTCCCGTTTCTAGCTCTTCAAGCTCGACGTTATGACCAATTATTGGATGCCAAGACAACCGTTTATACAAATTGTTTGTTGTGTGATCCACAATTTAATTAAGATGCACGCGCGGGATGATCCTCTATTTAGACAATATGATGTCGATTTGCCCTTAGAAGATATCAAGGGAGAACAAGAAGGCCAACAAGGACAACAACAAGGTATGGACACACAAGATCCGAAATGGGTAGTCGGCGACAACTTAATCACATGGTTAGTTTTCGGGATCATCTAGCTGATCAAATGTGGGATTTGTAATATAAGCTAAGATTATTCACTAAGTAAACTTTTTTTCTACTAATCATTCACTAAGTTATCTTATTTTAAATTATTTACTATTTATTTGTAATGTAATTTAAATTATTATATTAATTATTAGTGTTTTTATTTGAGATTCAATTACTATTTATTTAATATATTATTATTTAAAATACTATTACATATTTTTAAAAATTAAATCGCCAAACGCAGTTTCAGTTATTTTTTTAAACTGAAAACAATCTTAGAATAAAACTACTAAATACATTTTTAAAAATGATTTTAAAATAAAAATAAAAATATTTTTATTTTCATTTTCATACGCCGGGTCTTTTCTGGCTATACCAGATGGGTCGGCCGTGCAAGCCAAACCGTATTATCCACATAACAAATTAATAACAAAACTTCAATTGGCTCAGCAATTTAGGGTAAATTCATTAACTAAAATACGTCTGTCAACTCAGCTATATATAGCTGGGATTACAACATAAGAAAACGACTTGCTGGGCACACAACGACAAGAAAAAGGAAGATGGACTAAACAACAAAAGCTTAAGTGACAGACAGGTGCCTAAACGACAATAGGAGCCCCTCCATCACCATGTTACTGGGGTTTGCATATTGGGAGTAGAAAGAATACAAGCAACAGTTGGGCCTTGTCATTGCATCACGTGAAGAGATATAGTAATAGTTTTATTGTAGCAAGTTTATTGCATTACAGAGCCTCAAATTGTATGTACATATATTTCATGAAGATCCAAATCAAGGTTTATGACTATAAAAACGGAACATCCTTGACATTTCTTCTCATTTAAAGCAGGAAAACTCATCTCCATGTCTGCTTGCAATGCCTGTTGCACAATATAACCAACACAAAGTTGAACTCAAAAATAAAAAGCAAGTCAAGTCTTTGGTTGAGAAGACTAATGAAGTCTTTGCAAAATCAACAAAAAAAAAAAACTCAACTGGTATTCGGATATAATCACATACCTAAAACAGGAAGGATTCTTCCTCAGTTCCCGTACTTCATGGTTTCTTTCTCGAACCCAATTGTCGGGAACTGCTTCGCAAATTCTTCGACGTCGTGTTTCAGCTTCGCAGCCTCGGACTGGAAGTGAGGGGATTGCAATGTGGCCACAAAGTCCTTCAACTTTGTTCCTGGTTTACAAAAAATCAAAAGAACAAATTATATCACCTGATTTAAGAACCCATCTTGTCCCTTAACCAAACATGAAGAGCAATTGATGACATATCAAATATTATAAGAACCTTTTGCTTCTCCCTTGATCTTCACTGCCAACTTCACAGAAGCATCGAAGAATTCCGCTACCTTAGCAAAATCCTCCTCGACGAATCCCCGTGAAGTAAGAGCCGGTGTTCCTGAATTGCAAAGGAATGAACAGAGAAAACTTATTCAGAGACAAGACTACAACAAGTCCAAATTAACAAGAAGCCGTTTTACCCATTCTGATGCCACCAGGAACCATGGCCGATACGTCGCCAGGAACGGTGTTTTTGTTGGCTGCAATATGAACAGACTCCAACACCTTCTCAACCCTTGAGCCATCAATGCCCTGTAAAAAGGAGATTTTTAGAGAAGAGACTAAATTGTTCAGCAATTCTATGTGCACTTTTATAGGGTGGATAAACTTCTATATATATTCTAAGGAAAACAGAACAACAAATGTTGTCTATTTTACCTTGTTTTTCAAATTAACCAAGACTAGATGGTTCTCGGTTCCACCAGAAACAAGTTCGTAGCCCTTTTCAACCAAAGTCTGCAAGTTATGATCAATCTCAGTTGTTAGACTGCTTGAAGTCCCATTAGCCATTGAGAGATGATGATTGAAATAATGCTTGTAAATAGTGTTTTCTTTATTTTTAGCAAAAATGGAAAGCTATACTCGTAAAATACGGCCTTAGGAACAATGTTTGCTACATTTCATAAGTTGATACCTGCGCAAATTTTGAGCAGTTACTGAGAACCTGCTCTTGGTAGGCTTTGTACTCTTGAGTTGTAGCCTGTACAATACAACAGCAAAAAAAATATGTTCATGACACTTCCAAAGAATGTGTATCTTATGCATGACCATCCAAAACTTTCAAGCATTGTTGTTCTGTTGATCTTGACGAACGGGCAAGAGCTTTCGATACAAAAGTGCGCTAAATGTTTCCGACAAGGAATCTCAACAAACACTTCATGGATATAGTAACTGCAGATATATCTCTGTGTAGTAAATGTATACTGATTGATTGTTTAATGAGTTTGAAAATTTTGAAGTTTCTAATGTTTCAATGCTTGCAATCGAGACTCATTCGGCATAACATTAGTCCTCAGATAAACAAATGGGAAATGAATTCTCATTTTTCATAAATCAGTCAAGAACTAGCAGTAAGATTTATAATTTTCTATGAATTTGCTGCAATGATCATAGTTATTAGATGGATTACCTGTTTCAATGCTACTGCTAAACCAGTAATAGTGTGATTGTGTGGGCCCCCTTGAAGTCCAGGAAAGACAGCCTGATTGATTTTGTCTTCATAGTCATACGACACCTTGATAAAGAAAACAGAAACGTAAGCAATAGTTATGTTCAATAAATAACCTTTATTTTAGTGAAAAAGGAAGCACGGATGGCCTAGTAATAAAACCGAAAAAGTAACTAATTTCAAACAAGTAAAATTTTCAACCACAAAATTTTCAGCAACACACCTCTTTCCCATTTCAAGCCCTTCCGGAAGAAAATCATGGCTCCACGAGGTCCTCGAAGTGACTTGTGGGTAGTGGTGGTCACCACATCAGCATAGTCGAAAGGCGATGGGATGACACCGGCCGCAACCAATCCACTGATGTGGGCCATGTCTGCCAACATTATAGCTTTCTGCTTGTCACAGACCTGCCAAGTAACAAAAATGAATAACCTTACCCTTATCACCATAACAGAAGCAATACCAAATAAAATGTATAGGAAATTATTTGAAATGGACAACTTTAAAGAAAGTTACCTTGCGAATGCGTGCATAATCATAGAGACGGGCATAAGCACTAGCACCAGCAACTATCAGTTTTGGCCTGAACAATGTGGCACTTTTCTCCAACTGCAAATCATGTTTAATCCATGTCACTTAGAGCTTCTACTTAAGTTTGTTATAGAAATAAACTATTTGTCTTTTTCTTTTGGCTCGAAATATAGAACTCAGTCATAGAAAGTGCGAAAGCTACCTGGTCATAGTCGATATAGCCAGTGCTCTCATTCAATCTGTATGGCATTGTCTCAAAGAAAATAGAGACAGCAGATATCTTTTTGGTATCAGTCTGCACAATATATCAAGTATTGGAAAAATGAGAAGGTCATTCTCTCAGTATACCAGCGAAAAATAATTACTAAACTGGAGAGTTCTTAAGACGAAAAGCAAGTATTATTAGAATCTAAACTGTGGAAGGTCAGTTTGAGCAGGTCCATGTTGCGCCAACTATTACAGAATTCCAGAAATAGCATAGAGAATTACCTGATAACCATGAGAAAGATGTCCACCATGAGGAAGATCAAGTGCCATGATTCTATCATGAGGTTTTAGCAATGCAGTGTACACTTGAAAATTAGCAGGAGACCCTGACAGGGGTTGCACATTCACTGCCACAAAAAAAAAAAAAAAAAAAAAAAAAAAAAAATTTGTTTTAGAAAAGCTTGTGAACGATCAAGAAAAACAAAGAAGCAAACTATTTGAAAGTAATTACATGTCAACGTAAACTCACATGTAAGCATACAATTTTAGCATATGTCAGCGGCTGATTATGAAGAAAAGAACATAGAAAAGAAAGAACATGACACAAGATGCTATTTACCTCCCCATTTTTCGGGATCCAACCGAAAAGCTTCCAAAGCGCGCTTTTGACACAAGGTTTCCGCCATGTCGATGTACCTGAAGAACGAATTTCCATATTAGACTCAAGTATGAAGGGCTCAAAACAAAATACACAAAAGTTTCCGCCGCATACTCGTTTCCTCCGTAGTATCTGGCTCCGGGATATCCCTCACTGTACTTGTTGGTCATGATGGACCCGACCGCTTGCATCACAGACACCGAAGTGAAGTTCTCCGAGGGAATGAGCTCTAGCCCCTTTACAAACACATCATCAACACATCAACTTTAAGAACAAAATCACCATTTCAATCAACTGTCTAAGAAAATTGAATGTTCTGCTTTACTAGTGTGAATACATATAGGTAGAATTGTAACAACTCAAATCAATTGGAAGAAATGATAAGAGTCATCATAAAGAATGCTTATATATTTATTTACCTTCCATTGCCTAGCTTTCTCTAGCTCAATGATATCAGCAATTTCTGGATCAATGGCCTCAAGTGGAGCATTCAGTTGTTTAGGCCACTGCCAAAATATATAAAAAGGACATACATATTTCAAAAAAGGAGAATTCTGAAAAGAGAAAAAAAATATATATATATATATGTCGGATTTTCATAATGTTTCGTTAAAATTTTACTTTTCTTAATATGATATGATTCTAACGTGACAATTACGAAGAATCAAATGTAATTCATATAGAAGAGTTAAGAAGCTTTGCTTACAGTAACACCTGATTTCTCTTTCTCGTAGACAGCTTCATTTGGCAAAGACGACTACAAAAAGAAGAAAAAAAAAAAAAGGTAACTACTGTACGATTGACAATTTCCTGCGTTTGGTTCCCGGGAAATAAAAATAACCAAGAATCATGGAAAACGAAGAGAATGAAACAATGAGAGCCAAGAAGAAAAGGATAAATATATATAATATATATAAACCATGTAGTAAAGGGAGGCTCCATTGAAGCGTGGACGGATCGACTTGTCGATGGAAGAGGAAAGCCTCCGAAGCGCCAATGCCATTGCCATCTTTTTTCTTTTTTGTTATCTCTTTCTCTCTCTACGTTTCAATGGCTTTTATGCAACGAACTCTCTTCTCTCTCTCTCTCTCTCTCTCTCTCTCTCTCTCTCTCTCGTCTCTGTCTGAATGTAATGGTTAAGGGTGAGATTTTGGTGGTAGCAGAGAGAAGTTTGTGTTTTGCTGACGCTAATCCATCTCATCTATTCTCTCTCTCTCTCTCTCTCTCTCTCTCTCTCTCTCGTTTCTGGTCCAAAAGCTTCAGATGTAATTCCCTCAAACGACAACAGCCACGAGTGGCTTTCTCTTCTCGGGCACATCAGTACGACACTGATGATTCTTCGGTCAAAAATAGTTATTTTCCATCTGATTCGTCGTACATGAACTAATGTACCTTTTTAAGCTTCGTTTATTATAAAATTCTTCAGTTATATATGAAGAAACCCCTGCTTGGAATCTTGGGTCACCAAACAGGATTTTTTTTCTTTTTGATGATCTAACGGTTATGTGTTGATTTAAGTACTTTTATTATTTTCTGTATTCATTATTTAATATTTAATTTAAAATAGAATTAGCAAATATAAGAAAATAATACACTTTAAGAAAATTACATGATACGCCATTAAAATCTTTGAACTTTATATTTATGTCGCTTGACTTCAATAAGACCTCATTCGCTTTATGAATTTAAATTTTTAATTGAGATATGATATTTTTTAGAGTTTTTAATTATAGTAAAAAAAATTAGACGTAACATTTTTTAAAAATTTTTAATTGTAAAAATTTATAATTAAAAACTCGAATAAGTGAAATCAATGAGACATAAATTGTTTCTAATGAATTAATTCTTATAAATCTCAAGTTTATATCTATTCAGCGGAAAAAAAATCTTAAGTTTATATCATTGAGTGATATAAATGTAAAAATTATCTTATTTGAGTGGTATTTCTGTGTTATAATTTTCGTCTCTTTTATCGGTGTTCCCCATATATGGTCCATAAAATCACAAACTTATTTCATTCCATGTTGAGACTAAAAAACAGGTCAAAAGAGTAACACAAGCTACATTTTAATTAAGAGAAAATTGTAGATTTTATCTTTTTAAATACTTCATTTACTAAAAGTTTATTTTTAAAAAGCTCTACCTCTTAATTAGTTTTAGTTTAAAAAATAAAAAAATATAAATTGATATTAAGAGTTAAAATTAAAAAGGGCTTCATTTTAAGGATATTTTTAAAAATTGTCCTTTAATCAATTTATAGATCCAACGTCTATATTTATGAACATTATTAGAAAGAAATACAGTATAAGTTTATGTAATGAAAATCTGACAATTCAAAATCACCCAATACTAATTATATGGCACACACTTAATGAAATGATGTTATTTATGTTGTTTGTAAGAAAGAAAAATTCGTTGTTATGTGCAAGAGTCTAATTTGTCATATGAGAGATACATTGGACCAAAACCAACTAAGAAAGTGTTCAAAAAAATAAAAATATAAAAATAAAAATAAAAATAAAAACCAACCAAGAAAGGCCTATCCAAACGCACCATTTCTTAGCCACAAAGTGAGACTCGGATGGTGAGAGAGAAGCTTGATCGGATCTGATGAAAATATGTGAGACAGATTTCGCCACCGAAGCCTTGAATGATTTTCTCAAGAGGACTTCACCAACCCATGCGTCATTTTCTTTGAGATTATTACGTTGGAAATTTGGATCTTTCGTTTATTGTCCAAAAGATTGCCTTGGTTATAGAAGTCACTAGAGCTTAAAGCCCAACCTTTCAGGCCCAAATGCGCTTTTTAGACTTTATAGTAAAAAGCTAAATTGTAATTTAAATTGTGAAACCAAACGAGGCTTAATAAACATGAGCTTCGGGCCTAGAAACTAAGGGGATGTTCTTTTATTATTTTTGAGTTAGGTGATCTGACTATAGATTTTGAGTTGAACTTAAGTTATAATTTGAGTTAAAATTGTAACTTGAGTTTGTGTTTGGTTGTGTACATTTGAGTTATGGTTTGAGATAAGTATCATTTTGAGTTTGTGTTTGAGTGGGTCAAAACTTGAATTTGTATTAGATAGTATTTTAATAAAAACTCAATGCTGATGAAAAATTTTAATAGGGTATATGGGTGGGATTTTATTCGTCTTTTCGTTGTCAACGCATAGAAAAAAAATCATCTCAATCAGAATTAAAACGAAAAAATTATAGCATTTTTAAGAATAGAAAAAATACTGTTCATTAATTTGAGTTTGAGTTTCTGAACTCGAGTTGAAGAGAAAACATAAACTCAAATTTTAGTCTCAAACTCGAATTTAAACTTAAAAGAACGTGAACTCGAATAAAGTTATAACTCGAGTTACTTGTTTTAAGTTTTTGACTCAAATAAGGGGCTCCGAACAGCCCCTAAGAGGTTGTTATTTTGCAACAAAACTCAAAAAAATATAAACTCGAGTTACAACTTTATTTAAGTTCGTGTTCTTTTATAAAACTTGAGTTTGAATTTGGGTTTGAACTTGAGTTTGAGGCTTAACTCGAGTTCAAATTTCCCCTTCAACTCGAGTTCATAAACTCGAACTTAAGTTAATAAACAGTATTTTTTTTTACTATAGTAAAAAAAGTTAGATGTGATTGTTTCTGAGAGCTTTTTACTGTAGCAAAACTCAAATTGGTGAAATGAACGGGGTCGTAGGTTCATGTTCTTTTAAGTTTGAACTCAAGTTTGAAACTAAAACTCGAGTTCAAGTTTTCCCTTTAACTCGAGTTCAGAAACTCGAACTCAAATTAATGAACAATATTTTTTCTATTCTTAAAAATGCTATAACTTTTTCGTTTTAATGCTGATTGAGATGATTTTTTTTTCTATACGTTGACAACGAAAAGACGAATAAAACCCTACCCATATACCCTATTAAAATTTTCCATCACCATTGAGTTTTTATTAAAATACTATCTAAATACAAATTCAAGTTTTGACTCACTCAAACACAAACTCAAAAAGATTTTTATCTCAAATCATAACTCAAATATAGACAACTAAACACAAACTCAAATTACAACTTCAACTCAAGTTATAACTCAAACTCAACTCAAAATCTCTCAAGAATACCTAACTTAAAAATGCAAAAAACCCCTAACTTGTTCATTGTCTATTTCGTTTCTTTTTCAGAAGATTGCATTAAGTATATAAGACACAAGGGGTTAATGTCCAAGCTTGCAGGCCCGGAAACTTGCTTCTAACTTGGTTATGAATCTTGCGCGTACAAGCACAAATAAAATTGAGCTAATATGCTTATTAATATTACGATCAAAATTGAATTAAAAAAGAAAACTCAAAACTAACATAATTTAATACAAAATTAACAATTAAGAATAAAAGCCGTACCAATATGGTACTTTTCACAGGCTAGTGTAGAATTCTAGAAGAAAACAACAATTTTTTTAGTAGACGTTTAGTTTGTGGGTTTAGAATTATGATTCAGAACCATTATCAATTTACGTGTGTTTTTTATGAGAAAAAAATATTGTGACGAATTACGAATCATGACACGAATTCTTACTCTAAACACTTAGATTACCCGAGGGGAGATCAACAATGATGTTAAAATAGAAGTTATACGCGCTTCTTTTTTTCCCCTTAATCCACCTGTTAAGCACACAATTGGATACGCTTATGCAAATCATATCGCTGAACAATCTTTGTGATTTATGGAATTTGTTCATAGCGAATAATAGATCATTCGGAAATTTTTTTCCTGAATTCTGTAATTTTTTTTAAATAGTGCATCATTTGTTATTTTTGTGGATATTCTTTTTATCTTTTTAAGTATATTGGTGAGAAAATCAGTAGTAGTGTAGTGGACTGCCGCTTGTAATGATGATTACTAGTCGGTATCACGATGGATAACGTAATTACTGACAAATTTCTGACGTCACAATAAATGTTTATATTTAGACTGATAAAAATAAATTACATAATAAAAAATAATTTTTTATGTGAAAAAAAAATATTTTTACCAATTGTAAAAAAAATTTATGTAGAAATTTTTTTACCTAATCGTAAATGGAATTTTAGATAGTAAATTGTCATTTAATTCAAATAGGTTTAAAATTTATTATTTACTTAATTTAGTTTTAAATAAAGAGAAATTTACAGAATTTATTTTTAAAAATGTATGAGTCTAGATTTTTTAATTTTTATTTTTGATAAATATCATTTTATTATTGTAATTATTTGACCATACGAATCAAGACCATAATACACTTTGACCTCATTCATTTTGGTGATTCAAGTTAAAATGTGATTTTATGTGAAAATTTTTTACTGTAATAAAAAAATTATTGTGAGAGCTTTTTACTGTAGAAAAATGAGGCATTTGTATTTGCCAAAGATTATCCGTACCACGAAGTATGGTATAATTGGGCATTGTTTTGTTGTCCGTGGTATAATTGGGCTTTGTTTGTTGACTGTGACTAGATTGGGCCCAAATTGTAGAAAAGACACTCCGTTTTTGCCAAAGACTTATCCGTACCACGAAGTATGCTAATTGGGCATTGTTTTGTTGTCCGTGATATAATTGGGCTTTGTTTTATTGACTATGTCCGTGATATAATTGGGCTTTGTTTTATTGACTATGACTAGATTTGGCCCAAATTGTAGAAAAGAGAAAAAGGAAAAGAATCGCTAGAAGGAGGGCTTGAACCTCCGACCTTGTGGTTAACAGCCACACGCTCTAACCAACTGAGCTATTCCAGCAGGATGCTGTCTGTTTCTGAACAAAACTTATCTATCTAAATGTTTGTTCTGAAGATCATGTTGTACTCATTCATACAGAGACAGTTATCAGTGCGTCAGAATTATGTTGAAAAGAAATGAACAAATCACATGCTCTTTTCAAGATGGGGTATAAAACACCCACCAATCAAGTTGTCAGTTTAATTTAATTCTGGCGCTAAAAAAAATTTAAATAAATAAGAAAAGTAGAAGAAGCCAACACGCATGAAATTTCCCCAAAAGTTGATGGAATTTCCAAGGCGCGGGGATCAGTCAGTCTATACGGGCTCCACATCTCTGCTCTCTGTGTTTTGGGTCTGTCTAAGAGAGAGAAAGAGGAGAGAGAGAGAGAGAGAGAGAAGGTCGACAATGGCTCTTACATTACGTCCGATCATGTGCAAGTTGGGAGCAAGTGATTTTTGTCTGCGTTTTCATGCCTCTATATCGCTTCATGTAGTACACAAAAATCT